TACTGCTGCACCCAGGAGCTGGCGTCCCTGTGCACATGCCCCTGTTTGTTTTCCCTTCTCCCTTTGTTGGGGCAGAGTTAGGGTGTGAGTGTGTGTGGCACAGTTTCCTGTAGGTGCCTTTGCCTCTTCTGGCACCCAACAGCTGATTTAAAGTTGCTGTGGACTGAGGGTCATGACAAACTAGGTGTGGGAGTAACTTAAGAAAGTCATAATGTACCATGGTACAAGTTTTCCATGGGAGGCAGGGTCCCAGTAAGCACAGGGAGGGGAAGGCAGACAGAAGTGAAGGACAAGGTGGTGGACCAGGGAGGGAGCATGTGAATAAAAGTATGTCTGCTACTTCTAGTGGGGACAGAAGGGGTGTCCTGACATCTTAGGTAAGGGAGGGAAAGGCAGATCCTGGAGGCAGGACACACGCCTGAGGGATTAACAATTAAGTGTGCTTCCAGGTCACTCCCACTAAGTGGTACTGGAACACTGTCAGCCTCATGAAATCTCCACTCTTCGGGTCACTGCCTTTGGCAGAAGGGGTACTTGACAGGTGGGAAAGACGAAAAATCATCAGGTACCAAAATCAATCAGGTCTCCAATGTAGCATGAGGCATACCTGAGTAGGCCCCAGGCTCAGTCTCAGCCTGCAGGGAGGGAGCAAAAGCACCCCCGAGCTGGAATCACCATGAGGCCAAAGTTGGCTAGGAGCTGTTGGTTTAATACCATGAAGGGAAAGTCCCTCAGGAAGAAAGGAACAGAGAGACAGGGTGAGCAGTCCAAGGAAGTCTGCTTTTGGCTAGTCCTCAGCAGGGGGGGTCCCCAGCAGGAGCATCCAGCAGGGCGCCAGAGGCTCATGGTTGCACTTTAGGCATGCCCCTGCTGATTTGGCTCTCAAGTCATACCAACCTTGGTCCAGGAGAAATGTCCCTTCATGTGGTTGCCAGAATGTTATGTGCTGGTTTGAAGTGTCGCAGGCCAGTGTTGAGGGTCCTTGCTGTCACAGGCCAGAGAACTGGCTCATGGGGCAGCTGAATGACTCATAAGAAAAGGCCGATAGATGACATAGGATTTATTAGAGAGAAAGGAAAGGCTACAGCTAGAGCAGTGCAGTGGAGCCCAGAAACTGGTAGCTCAGGTGAAGGCTGGGGCTTTTAGGAATGTTTAACTCTGGGTTAGGTGAGCTCTTCTCATTGGCCATAGATTTGCAGGCTTTCTTAGGTGAACTGGTTTGTTTGCCCTTTATTGGGGGAGGGGAACAACCTTGAGAGCATTTTGCTCATCAGCCCCGTGGCAGATCTATGAGACCCTGTATCTCCACTTCAGGGTGCAGAAATGCAGGTTTACAACTTCTTCTCAGGGTGCAGGAATCACAGTACTCTCCATGGGGGATGGGCTACTCACTCATCTGCCAGGTCTCCAGACCCAGTATAAGCCTAGTTAGTCAGGAAGCAGAGATCAGGAGAATCATGGTACAAAACCATACAACCAAAAAAAAAAAAACAACCCAAAAAAATGAATAAAAACAGGGTTGGTGGAGTGGTTCAAGTGGTACAATGCTTGCCTAGCAAGTGTGAGGCCCTGAGTTCAAACCTCAGTACTGCCATAAACAACCAATGACCTGCTGATGCTCCCAGGGTGCATCCTAGAGAGAATGAAGAGAATAAACACATCTTCTGTTTCTATACACGAACCTGTACATGAATATTCATGAATACTTAGGGGGATGGCTCTTCCACTTGAGCCATTTCCCCAACCCCCCTAGCTGCATCATTTGTGGAAGCCCAAGCTGTTATCCTTTGTGAGGATTCTCAGAATAAAACAGAATTATTTTTGTCACGCCCTCACAAAAAAGTATTAAGCAAGCTGGCAGGCTATGGCTATCACGTGTGTGTGCTGATCCCCCAGCCACCCGAACAGCACACCAAAGTCACTGCTTTGTTAACAAAAGACGTGCTTTTGTTACCGATTAGCTGGTTGGAGTCCTTTCACTCCACCCAGACAGGAACCATGGATAAGTGAGGAGAAAAGAAAAGCCATTGGTGGTTTTTGTAATCCTGGGAGGGTGGTGCAGCCGACAGCAGGGGGCTGCTCTAGACAAGGTACCCCCTTGTAGCTTGAGGAGGTGGCACCCCCTCACGTTACAACTCTTAGTTGGGCCGCAGGTACTGGAACTGTCAGCCTTTACACCAACAAGGGTTACAGCTCTTAAGCAATCCTCAGCCCTCCATAACAGTGGCAAACCACTGCTGCACCTGCTGGCCCACTCTCACTGCAACTGCCGCCACCTCTGTCACCAGCCCCCTCTATTTCCACGTTACCATCCAACACTCCCCTAATAGTGAAAAAATCAACCCAAGCAGAGAAAATAAACACTTAATTCTTTACTGAGCCTAATGTTACACCACCAGAGTAGCAAGTTCACAACCGGGGCTAAACAGCCTACTTATACAGCCCTGAAAGGGGGTGTGGCAGTGATGACTGCACCAATCCTGGCAGCCCTTCATGCAAATGAAATACTGTGTTTCCACCAATCGTGGCATGCTCTTTCATGCAAATGAGGGACATCATTTGTACCAATCATAGTGGCCCCTCACGCAAATGACGGATTGTGTTTGCACCAATCACAGGTCTTCTGCTGGGCCACCAGGGAAGGTGCTCCCCCATGGCCTGAGTGGAATTGCTGCAGGGTTGTCTAGAATTCACTGCGGCTCATAATGGCTATGAAAACCTTTGGGAAGCCACTGTGCCTTCCGCAGAGAGCAGGGTTTAAATTACGTTTCGTTTTTTTTGACACTTGTGGAGCGAACACATTAGGAGACAATTGTCAATTTTGAAGATAGTTTGTTACAGTTCCCACATCGGGGAGGCATAGCCACAGTGGATATGCCAGGGCTGATCAAAAGATAGGATAAGGGCTGGTGGAGTGACTCAAGCAGTAAGAGCACCTGCCTCACAAGTGCGAGCCCTGAGGTCAAACCCCAGTGCCACCATCCTGAAGACGGGATAATGTGGGTAACAGCTTGCATTGCAACTTCTTTTCTTTTGAAGCAGGATCTCACTACATAGCCCAGGGTAGCCTGGAACTCATGATCCTCCTGAGTACAGGGATTACAGATGTGCACCACCAAGCTCGGCTCTTGTGTTGCAATTTTTGTGCAATGTTTGGGGAGGCTGGCAAGCAGACATGACACAGGTGTTGTGTAGATTAGTATGAACAATTTCAGCAGGCTCTGAGGGGTGGTGACTGTCCTGATTTGTCTGGGAAGGGACCTTGGAGTTATGACAGGGGAACTCTTCCTAGACTGCAAGAGCCCCTGAAAAACTCATGCCCCCAGCCTTTTTTGTTTTAGTTATTTTTCAGGGGCTGGTTTGCATATGAAAGATGAGACAGATGTTCCTGGATTTCCTTATAGGTGTAATTCAGTGGTAGAATGGTTGCCTAGCCTGCATGAGACCCCTCATTCCATCCCCAGCACTGCAAAAAGGAAAAAAAAAAAAAATCCTGAAAGCTGAATGGGTGTCCTTAGGTACGGGGTTAGGGACAGGTGTCCTGAGACCAGTGGGATATTTCCACATAACAGTGACAACTGCACTGGCTGACTCGGGTGTCAGAGCAGGAGCTACACCATTTGTGTGCATTTTCTAATTCTTTGATGAAACCCTGTAGGCTGCCAAACTTTTATGCCCATTTTCTAGATGTGGTTACTGAGGCTCCACTCCCAATTTTGTAGCCTTGGTCAACTTCCCTGGTCTAAATGCTTGTTAGCAATTTCAAGCCACTGGTGACTTAACAGCTTGTAAAATTCTCTTTTGCCAGGTGGTAGGAGTGGGCTCTAGCACACTGCATGACCATACCCCCCCCCCTTTTTTTTGGCAGTACTGAGGTTTGAACTCAGGGCATCAAGCTTGCTAGGCAAGGGTTCTACCACTTGAGCCTCTCCACCAGCCCTTTTGTGTTATTATTCACATAAGGTCTTGTGATTTTTGCCTGAGGATGGCCTCAGACATTGATCTCCTGAGTAGCTTGGATTACAGTCATGAGCCATGGCACCCAGCCTCCATTTTATATTTGTATTTATTTTTGCAGTTCTGTGTCCTCCTACCTGCTAGACAAGTCTCAAACTTTGTGCTTTACCCCTAACCAGACCTCCTTGTTTGATCAGAGATCAAGTTTCTATTTTAAGTCAAAACATGAGTGGATCTTACCTTTCTACACCTGCAAGGGATTAAGATAAAATCAGGTGTTTCTGCTAGACTTCTTTAAACAGAATTTTTGGACTGGAGTGTAGCTGGGAGGTAGAGAGCTTGCCTAGCATGCTCCAGACCCTGGGTTCCATTTCTAATACCAAAACAAAACAAAACAAAACCCAGAAGTTCATCTAAAGAAATATTCTCTTTTTCCCAGGCTCTGATGTGGTTAAAGGAAATTGTCCTCATCACAAGTGAGACTGAGTCACCATAGGCTGGTACATCTTGGTGGACACCTGCCCATCGATTGCGCCTTGTGGCCAGTGGGAAAAGGGGAGACCTGTAAGGGGAGGAGACATTAGGGACAGATTCTTTTTCCCCACTTACAAAGCACAGGACAAGATGTGGCCTCTTGGCAGAAATTGGTGCAGATATGTGAAATTCAGAGCATCTGCAACCACTCTGGAAACATGAGGGGAATACCATGCTAATTGCTACCATAACACACTTAGAACTACCTTGGTTCTGCTTCCCTGGGACAATAGCATGAGACCAAGTTCAAACCCCAGTACTGCCGAACAACAAAAACCCAGGACCACCAAAAAGAAGAAAAGGAAAGAGAAGGATATGGGGGACTTCGGCAGGTGACATGGTGATGGGATTCCTGAGGGAGGAGTATATAAACAAGGACACACGGGGGCTGGCAGAGTGGCTTGAGTCGTAGCACTCCTGCCTAGCAAGCGTGAGGTCCTGAGTTCAAGCCCCTGTACTGTTGAAAAAATAAAACTAACACAGGACACATAGGCATGGTTGGTTCCAGGCTGTATTCGGATGGAACTGGAGCATAGAGCAGGAAACAGCAATTGAGATGCAGCACAGCTGGGCAGGGCTGACTTTAGGGCCTCCCACATGAGGCTGAAGGGCTGGGACCAGGACCTAGCATAGGGGTAGAGCCAAGTCTGGGTGCCTTCCAGGGATGTGGGCAGGGCCAGGAGGTTAGGAACAAAGCTGGCAATGAGGTGACTAGAAGCCAGGGGCCTAGGGAGAGCAGGCCCCTGGAGCAGTCATGCTAAGGACCCTGGTGCCCTTAGCAGCCAGGGACAGGACACAGGCATTGCTGGGCCCAGCAAGGATGTGAACCAAGAGAAGCTGGGTCCAAGGCAGCTGGCAGAGTGCCAGCAGCAGTGGGCACAGGATGCCCTGCTGTGGGCCCAAACCCAGGGAAGCTGAGGCAAGCCAGGGCTGCTGGGTGAAAGAGGGGGATCCCTAAATTCAGCTACACCTGTGAGCCCTACACTGGATTTGAAAGAAGGCAGGCCCCTTGAAGGGGGACAGAGGGAAAGCACGGCAGACTCCGAGGACAAGAAAGCTGAGACCAGCAGGGCCTGAGCAGCAGTGACTAAAAAGCCACCTGTCCCCTCCTCGGGTGGTGCACAGGTGAGGCTGGTCCACAAGAGAAGCCTGCTGTGATACTACATCTGGTCCTGTCAGCTGTATTGGTGGTGGGAACTTCAGGCTGATGGCCCTGAGGGATCATAGGTGCTGGGCATCCACCTGGGCCACTGCGGGGGCCTGTTCAGGGACCTTCTGTTCCCCAGCATCCACATCCCTTTGGTCACCTGCGGGGGCTGGGACAGGAACGTCTGCAAATGAAGGAGGAAAAAGTGATGCTCATTTCCCTGACCCCCAGGGACCCAGGAGTCTCAGCCCTCCTCCCTCAGACCCAGGGGTCCAGGCCCAGCCTCCTCCCTAAGACCCAGGGGTTCAGACCCCAGCCTCCTCCCTCAGACCCAGGGGTCCAGGCCCCAGCCTCCTCCCTCAGACCCAGGGGTCCAGGCCCCAGCCTCCTCCCTCAGACCCAGGGGTCCAGGCCCCATCCCTCCTCCCTCAGACTCAGGGCCAGCACCTGTGTCAGGGTGGAACTTGAGCTGCCCCTCAGGGTTGGAGGGCAGGGCGTTATGGTCCTGCTGCTGCTGCTGCTGCTGCTTCCTCTGCTCCATGTGCAGAACAGCCTGCAGGAGAGGGTGATGCACACACAAGAGGTTATGACATATGCAACCTGTTAAGTGGCCTTGGGCCAGTCCCTTCTCTATGAGCCTCAGTTTTTCTCTCTCTCACTGATACCTGGGGTTAAGAATCCAGTTCACACCTTGGTTTTCACCCAGGGGAAAGGACAAGGAAGCCCTCACTGAGCCCTTCTGCTCCTGCCCACTTACATCCTCACTGCCCTCGTCTAACATGGCCGCCACAGGGATGGGAAAATGTCTGCCCCTCAAGATGGTGGTTACCACCTGAGGCTCTACCAGTGATTCACAGAGGCCTTTGCAGCCTCTAGACACCCATGTGGACAAAGACACAAAAGATGGGCTCAGCTTCCCTGGCTGGTCACCTGCTGCAGCTCTCTCTTCTGGGCCTCCAGGCGGTCCTGGGACCGCCCCAGGGCCTCTGTCTCCTGGCTGAGGCGCTGGGCCTTGGCGTTCAGCTCTGCCTCACGGGCAGCCAGCTCCTCCTCGAAGCGCCTCAGCTCCTCCTCTGTGTAGGCCGGGTGCATCTCCACCGTCTGCAGGGCCCAGGAAAGCCGCCATCAATGGGGCAACTTCAGCAGTGGCCCACCCATTATGGACAGGGCTGTGCCATGAAGGTTTAGAGGGGGCTGGGAGGCCAGGGCTGTGAGCACGTGTGTGTGTGTGTGTGTGTGTGTGTGTGTATGAGAGAGAGAGATAGAGAGAAAAGGAGAGAGAATTAAAGGGCTAAAGGAGAACAGAGACAGGGGACAGAGACTGAGGGAGGAGAGGGACAAGGAACCAGAGAAGCGGACAAAGACACAGAGAGAGAGAAGAAACATCTAGAGTGAGAAGGAGAGACCCAGAGACAGCATGACAGTGATCAGGAGAAAGAGAGGGAGACAGAGACCCAGAAAGAGAGGGACAGTGACACAGATAGAAAGAGTGGTAATCTAGACCCTGAAAGAAAGGACTGAGGAGAGAGCTATTCAGGTCTGAGTATGCTCACCTCCCATCCCTCTCCAGTGTCCCCAAACTCCTTCCTCTGTGTGGAAGCAAGGAACTCCTCCAGGGTCACAAGGCGGTCCTGGTTGGTGTCCACCTGGGGAGCCAGATCAGGGTAAGAGACAGAGCAGAGGCCAGTGCCCAAGCCTCATCAGGCTCCCTCCTCTCACATTCTTCATCACATGTTCCCGCATGCGCAGCCGCTCCTCCTCCATTTCCCGCATGTCATCCTCCTCATTCTTTGGGTCATACACCTTCTCCAGCTGCAGGATCAAGTGCGAAGTGGTAAGAGATCCAGGGCAGGACCCCATCCTGATAAACACACTGGAGTTCAACTCCCAGAAGGCTTTGGGACTTGTGGACACTCCAGCATGTTTTTTTTGTACCCAGGGCTGCTGGGAGTTGTAGTTTTTCCTGAACTCCCCACCGTGGGGGACCTACAGTGACCAGGAGGATTCCCCAAAAGGTCACATGGCTGATATGGGTATCCCATGATCCCATGGCTTCCAAGACACTCACCTCCTTAGTGAAGAGGGCCTCTAGCTCCTGCTCATCCAGGACACCATCGCTGTTGATATCTGAGGCAGGGGAGACAAGGTACCTCTGGGGACAGTGGACAGGTAATGATGGGTCTCTGGCAGCAGAATGAGGCCTGCAGGCTTTGCATCGTGCTTGACCCACTCAGCACTGCCCCTTCCCTAGCAACCATCAAGAACTAAGTAGGTGATGTCGCGCGGGCCTGTTCCATGCAGGACTGGTGCCTTGTGTTCTAGGCACGGGGTCGGCCCCTTCGCCCAGGATCCAGGGACATCCTAGAGAACCAGGACAGTGCCAACGCCACCTTCCAGGACAGCTCAGGTAGCTGCAGCAGAGCTCCAGGCTTCATCGGCCATACTTCCTGTCTCAGACCCTCCCTTCACCTAACTCCTGAACTCCTGAAGAGGCCCTGAACCCTGATCCTGTATGAAAGAGTCAATGGTTTTTATTCATTTATTAATTTTGAGAGAGTTTCTTGCTATTCAGCCCAGGCTAGCCTTGAACTCTCCATCCTCCCTGCCTCTGCCTCCCAAATAGCTGAGATTCAGGCATGCACCACCATGTCTGGCTCATTCTTCCAAGTGTTTAGGTCAAAAACCTCAGAGTCATCCGTGACCCTTGTACAACCATCATCTGGTCTATATGAAAGTCCTACCAGCCTAACCTTCCAGATGTTTCCAGACTCTGACAACTTCTCCCTGCTTTCCATGGGATAGCTGCCAGCATTTCTTGCCTCCTCACTGGGTTTGGCCCTTGCCCTGACAGTCTGTCCTCCACACAGAACCCAGATGGATTCTGTCACCAGTCCCCTGCTCAAAGTCCTTTTGCAGTGTCCCATCACACACACAATAAAGTCCATGGTCCTAACCCTCTGCACAGGGCCCTGAGTGGCTACCATTCTCTGTTCCCTGTGCATTCTGCTCTCTCAGCTCTGGAGACCGACCAAGTTCATTCTTCCCTACCAGTGCCTGGAGTCCTCTCATCTAGAAATTCTTCCTCCAATAGCTATAAGACCACTTCGCAGAGGTCTCTGTTTAAGTGTGGTCTCTGGAGCTATGCCATCCAATCTTGCAGCCTTGAGTCACTTTGAAATGAACATCCAGCACAATGAAAGACTAAGTGAAATAGGCAAATTCTGCCAGGTGTGGTGTTACACCTGTTCTCAGCACTCAGAAGATGGATATGGGAGGATCTGGAGTTCCAGGCCAGCCTGGGCTGCATACCAAGACCTTGTCTCAAAAAACAAGGGACAGGCATGGTGGCTCACAACCACAATCCAGTTACTTGGGAGGAGAGATAGGATTGCTATTTGAGGCCAGTCTGAGCAAAAAGGGAGAACCCATCTCAAAAGCCAGCAGGACACGGTGGTGCACAAGGGAGGTGGAAGTAGGAAGATCACAGTCTGGGTTGAAAATACAAGATCCTATGTAAAAAAAAAAATAACTAAAACAAAAAGAGCTGTGGGTGTGGCTCAAGTGGTAGAGCGCCTAGTAATTAAAAAAAAAAAAAGAAGGTCAAGTTTAGGGGGGACAAAATGCATTCCCAGCACCAAAAAATAAAACATACTTAATGCTATAAAACTGCATATTTAAAAATAATGAAGATGGCAAATCTTTCTTACATGTATTTTAGCATGATTTAAAAAGCTGGGAGGTGGCAGTTCTAGGGTTTCAACTTATTAGGGCCTTATACTTGCTAGACAGGTGCTGTACTACGTGAGCCATGCCCCAGCCCAGTGACTAAAATTTGTTTTAAGAACCAGGTATGGTGGTACATGCCTGTAATCCTAGCACTAGGGAGGGTGAAACAGGAGGGCCCTGGTTTGAGGCCAGTCTGGGCTACATAGGAAGACTCTGTATTTAAAAAACAAACAAAAAATGCCAGGTGCCAGCAGCTCACGCCTGTAATCCTAGTTACTCAGGGGGCTGAGATCAGAAGGATGAGGGTTTGAAGCTAGCCCGGGCAAATAGATTGTGAGACCCTATCTCCAAAATAACCAGAGTAAAATAGACTGCAGGTGTGGCTCAAGCCGTAGAGCACTTGCCTAAACAAGCGCAAGGCCCTGAGTTCAAAGCTCAGTCCATGCAAAAAAAAAAAAAAGCAAGTTTGACCCCCGGGAGCTTCGTTTGCTGAGCAAATAAACCTGCAAAGCTTTGTTGACAGGCTGAAGCAGCAGGAAGAGACTGACGGAAGTAGCTTTCCAGATGTGCAGAGGCCTGGTTACCAGGGAGCAACCCATTCATGGTGACAGAGCTCCTGGGGCAGACCAGGGCTTCTGCGCTGCTCTAGGAGGGGGGCCCAGACCCAGCCAAGCCTGGTGTGCTCAGTTAGAGGACACCAGCTGTCCTTAGAACCCAGAGCCTGGCATATCCTGGAAATAAGGCCTAAGTCCCTCCAGGGAAGATCCCAGGCCTAGCAGCAGGGAGGGGCAGGACATTTCGGTCAGTAGGGGAGGTGGGCCAGGACTTGGGTTAACTAAGCCCCATGAGGACAGGGATGTCCTCCTGGTATTTGGGCCCCAGAATGGTCACAGCCTTCATTTCTGCCTGGGTCTGGGACACATGTCCCACCTTACCATGCAATATGAAGAAAGTCTTGGGATTAAACCTGTTGGGGTCCAATCCGTCCAGCTCCTCCCACACTTCCTTCAACTGGGCTTGGCTGCCCTGTGGAGGGGAGAGCAGAAGCTCATGAGCAAGGAGTAGGGGTGCCGTGAGATCAATCCTCTACCCCCAGCCAACAAACCTCATTCCCTTCAAGCAAGAAAGCCAATAAAACTGCAATTCCCAGCAGTCCTTGGGACAGTTTGACATAGTGTGGGGGGGGTTGTCTCAAAGGCTGCTGGGAGTTGTAGTTCTTCAACTATTTTGCTTTGGTAGTTAGACACAGTAGGGTGTGGTCACACGGGGGTCCCTTACAGGCACATTGACTTTGGGGTGCTCCCGGTGCCGGCGCTGTTGCTCCTCCAGCTTCCTCTCGGCCTCCTTGCGCTGCTCCTCTCCCAGTGACTCCAGGTAACGGCGTCTCTCGTGCTCTTTGAGCATCTCATAGCGTTTGAACTCCTCGTGATGGGCAGCGTCGTACTGTGCCAGGTCCCGGGTGGCCTACGGAAAGCCAGGTCATTCTACTCTTGCCAAATTCCAACCTCCAAACGGCAGGCCAGGAACCAGGCCTCCACCTGATCTCGGGGCCTGGTCTCCCTTTCTTGTTCTCTGTGACTCAGAACGCATGGTCAGACTTGACCTATCCAAGTCCTCAGGTCTCAAGCTCTTTGGATAAGTACAGCGCAACGTGCGAGGTGGACTTAATGTGGAAAGCCATGTAACTGGGTAGTCAAGACCCTAAGGCCTTTAATTATTTTGCCCAGGGTTCAACTAGGCTCTGCTGCGTGACAAAATCTCATTAGCTGTGTGATCGTGGGCAAGTTACTCAGCTTCTCGGTGCCATGGGTTTTGCCTCTATCAAATGGAGATAGTACTCTATTGGATTGAGAGTATCCTCCTCAAAAGGCATGTCAACTTAGAAACTGGGTATGTGACACATTTGGAAACGGGGTATTTGCAGATATCATTAGTTAAGATGATGTCCTACTGGATAAAGGTGGTCCCTAAATCAGTGACTGGTGTCTTCATAAACAGACTACAGAAAAGATGCAGAGAAACACAGGGAAATGCTATGTGATCATGGAGGAGGAATTGGATTGATGCAGCTAGAAGTCAAACAACACCAAAGTCCCCTGGCTAAGGTTTGAGAGAGCCATGTGCCAGCAGCTCACACCTGTAATCCCAGCTACTTAGGAGACAGAGATCAGGAGGATCGAGGTTTGAAGCCAGCTCAGGCAGAGTTTGACAGACCCTACCTCAAAAACACCCAACACAAAATAGGGCTGGTGTGTGGCTCAAGTGGTAGAGTGTCTGCCTAGCAAGCATGAGGCCCTCAGTTCAAACCCCAGTACCGCCAAAAAAAAAAAAAAAAAAAAAAAGCAGCAATAGGAGAGACATGGAGAGGCTACTCCCTGCTATACTGTACATCTGGAATGTCCCCAAGTGTCCTTGTCTCTTTAGCTAGGTGTTATTCAAAAATGGTAGAACCTTTACGAGGCGGGGTCTAGTGAAGACACAAACCAAGAAATGTGGGGAGCCTGATATCCAACCCCCACCAAGCTGGAAAAAGCAAGGGATGGATTTGTCATCAGAGCCTCTGGTGGAGGCACAGCCACACCAAAACCATGATGCACATTTTGTACCTTTTTTTTTTTGAGACAGGGTATGGATATACAGCCTAAGCTGAACTTGAACTCATGACTGTCCTGCCTCAGCCCCTCCAAGTGCTGTGATTACGGGTGCTACTACCATCCCAGCTGCACAATACCATTTGTTTTTCTTTTGGGGGTGCTAGGGTTTGAACCCAGGGCAAACACTCTTACCACTTGTGCCTCTCCAGTCCTTTTTTGTGGTGGGTTTTTTCCAAGACAGGATCTCTCAAATTATTTGCCCGGGCTGGCTTTGAACCTCAATCTTCCCGATCTCTGCCTCCTAAGGAGCTAGGATTGCAGGCGTGAGCCACCAGCTCCCAGCTGTTGTGTGCTTCTCTAACCAATTCTCTCCCTGCCTTGGGATGGCACTTAGGGCCCACCTGGATAATCCCAGATCAAACCTCACCTCTGGATCCGTAATTTAATCACACCCACAGAGAACCTTTTGCCATGTCTGGTAGTACAGTCACTCGTTCAGGGATGAGGACATGAACTCCTTGGGAGGGCACATTTGGCCTGTCCACAGAGGGGACATTCCACCCCTTTAGTCATACAGTCATACAGGAAGGACAGACTGGAGCTGGGTGTGAGGTAGCAAGACCATCTGTCCACACCTCCTGCTTTCCCTGGAGGATCAGGGAAGATTTGGGACAGCAGCAGGAGGCAGGGTGAGCACCTTTCTTCCAATGCTGAGTTTCCTTCTGCCCTCTGCCACCTTCCCGGGTCCCCTTCTGCCAGGCCCCCCCATACCGTCTGGATCAGCAGCTCCAGGTCACGGGCCTCGAACGTGTGCTGGTTCTGGGGGTCCAAGTGTTCAAATTGCTTCAGGAGATTCAGGTGATCCACCTGCACGTCTGCATGAGGGAAGAGTCAAAGAAAACAATGCATGGGACATGTCCTTTCTTTAAGAATCCCTGTCTCAGGACAAGCATGCTGAGGGAAGTTGGGAGTGTGTATGTGTGTGGGGGAGTGGAGCCCAGAGGATGGCCAACTGGGCCTGAGGCAATCAGCGAGGGTGTCCTGGAGGAGGTGACCTCACCACAATGATAGTCACCAACACATCCATAGCACTTACTGTTAGGTCCCTGGCATTCTTGGGGTGGGCGGAAGGACCCGAGGCTACACCTTAAAACCAGACCCCCTGATTTATGACCACTTGTTTCTCCCTGCCTGATTGTTTCTCGGCTTGCAAAACAACTCAGGAACTTCTAGTTACTCAACTAGCCAGGCATGTTGACCTGTTCCATCTGGTGATCGCAGGTAATCAGAGACCAGACTCTCTCTCCCTCCCCCATGGCTTGGCCCCTCCTATAAAGCCCACTACCCAATTCAGCCACGCTGCCTCACTCTAAACCCGAGAGTGACGGCCCTGTGGTCTGGACCAATAAACCTTTCCTTTCCACACGTGGCATGGTCTTTATTAGGCAGTGCCTTACATCTGGTGTCAAATCCTGGGAGAGGTTAACAGGATGCTCTGGCCCAGGGCTGCTCCCTTGGCCTTCGTGTCCTGCCCTCTCCCAAACCCAGGCTGCTGAACTGACCCCACGTGCCTCCAGACTGTGGATTTCAGACCTTACTGCCTTGCCAGCTCCTCCATCCATCATTAGCCTTTCTCTTCCACTGCTCTCCACCTGACCTATTCCTCAGACTCAGTGTCACCCTCCTGCCAGGGCTGCCAGCTTCTCCATCCATCATTAGCCTCTCTCTTCCATGGCTCTCCTCCTGACCTACTCCTCAGGCTCGGTAAGTGTCACCCTCCTGCTGGGGCTGCCTGCTCTGCCTGGTTCTAAAGTCGTAGCTACGCCAGGTACGCCTCTCCTGTCCACAGGGGCACCCACCGCTTAGCATGGGGACGCCTGGCTAACCAGTTGGTACATTTCCTGCTGGACAGCAACCCAGGCCAGGGACACCTGCCCTTGGGAACCCATCCGGGTGACACTCCCACTCTCACTCCCTCTCTCCTTCTCTCCCTCCCTGTCTTCCTTTCCTCTGCCTAGGGTGAGAGCTCAACAGCCCCTCCAGCTTACTTTGACCAAACGGCAACCAGACAATTCTGCTCTCCTTGCCTGAGTCATGTAAGGGAGGCTAGATCTTGACCTAGGTCTATATTGGCCTGAAGAGTAAACTCACCAAGGCACCTGCCTCGCTCTCTCTCGCTTTCCCTCTCTCTCTCCCCTCAACTACATTATGGATACCTCCCACTCTACATTATACACGTCCACAGGGATACCTTCTCTGCACCCTCCCCCTTGGTCTCCAAGACGATTTAAAACCTAAGTGACTGATTTTCACACACTTCTAGGTCTTGACAATTTCTGCCATCGCAACAGTAAGTGATCTGAAATTCCACTCGTCCAAGCTTTCCTGTCTCTCTGCTCTTGACCCTCCCTGCTCCAATCTTGTAACGCTGTCCAAATCCTCCTTGCCAGCAACAAACCCCCCTCTCAAAGTCTATGTCTCTCCCTCCCACTGAACTCTTGTACTTGTGACCTCATGGCTCTGTCTGCCCACTTCCCAACTCTTCCTGCCAGTCCTCTACATCAATCTCTTCTCCCACCCCATCCTCCCGTGACTCACACCCCCCTTCTTCCACCCCTGCTGGCTCTCCCAAACAGCCACCACCATATTCCCTTTCTACAGTAGTCACTATTGACCCTGAGCCATCGGCTTCTCAGGAACCAACACCACCAGCCTTGCCCTCAGCCCCTGCTAAAACCCTAACCCACTATACTTTATCTTAACTCTCAGTTAGCTTAACTCCGGGAAGTGGCAGAAGCTGATGGCATTATCAGAGTTCATGTGTCTTTTTCCATGACTGATCTCTCCCAAATTGAAAAGAGGCTTGACTCCTCTGATGACTCAGCCTCCTATATTAAAGAATTTAAATACCTAACCCAATTATTCTCAACTCTCATTTTATTTCCCAATCCTTCCCTGATATTCAAGGCAAACTTAAACAGGCAGAGGGTGGTCCTCAAACTCCCCAGGGAGATCTTGTGAAAATGGCATTTAAGGTATTTAATAACCGAGATGAGGTTTGAAACCAGTGAAAGGCCAGCTCTTGGCAGCTGCCCTGAGGCACCTCCTCCAACTCCAAGATGGGCTGGACAACAACGCACACCTCTAGGGCCTGCTTCAAGTGCAACCAGATGGGACACTGGGCAAAAAACTGCCCTTCCAAACACAACAAGGTGATTGAACTTTGATCACAAGATAAAAGCGAGAGCACACAAGGGAGATACGAGGATAGGTAAGACACCTGAAAAATTAGTTAGCATTTGTTGCTCTCAACGCAGAGAAACTAAAGCAGATACCTTAAAAGCAACTGAGGCCAACAAGAGAAGGGACCAGGAAGTAGAGAAAAGTTTAGATTAAAAAGAATTAACCTAGAAGGTAACACACACGCACAGGAAATTAATGTGCATCAACTCCCTGTATAGCTATCCTTATCTCAACCAGCAAAAACCCTTGTTCCTTCCTATTATTGCTTATACTCTCTCTTCAACAAAATTAGAGATAAGGGCAAAATAGTTTCTGCCAGGTATTGAGGGGGTGAGGGGGAGAGGGAGGGGATGGGGTGGGTTGTCAGGGAGGGGGTGGGGGCAGGGGGGGGAAATGACCCAAGCATTGTATGCACAAATGAATAATAAAAAATAAATAAATAATAATTAAAAAAAAACTGCTCTTCACCTCACCGGCCGCCAGGACTCTGTCCATGATGTGGCCAGAATGGACACTGAAAGGACGACTGCCCCTCTTTGTCCCTGCAAGGTAGGTCAGTCTCCCACTCCCACTCTCAAGAGAGTGAAGGCCTCACGGACCTCTTGGGCCTGGGGCAGAAGACTATGTAGCCCTGGGACCTTGACCCCCTTCAAGATCACCTCAGAGGAGCCCAGGGTAGCCGTCCAAGTAGGAGGTAGGCCTCAATCACCTACTTGGTGCTACCTGACTTCTCAGATCTCCATGGTGGGGGTGGACGGTCTCCTCCACCAGCCAAAAAAGAAAAGACAGTTTTATTCAAATTAAAATTCTTATAAAAGTTAATTTTAAAATACAGTTTACAAAGTAAACAACTGGAAAGGATATAGATAGGTATTGAATGTATTTTTGAGAAGTTGAAGGAAAAAGGAATGGTTTTTTGGATGAGAGAATTTTGTAAAGAATGGTTTGTCCTAAAGATTGTTTCAAATAGGAAGGATAAGGACAAACCATCAAAGGGTCAGAGTAAGTTTTAAAAGTGTATAATAAAAGCTTCAGTGTATGATAAAGTTAAAGTTGACTACAATCTAAGAGTTGCCTAAATGATTTTTAAGGTCATGTCAAACTAAAATCAAACTCTCTATAAGATAACAAAGTTATCTTAATACTATTCTGCTCTGAATAACATCTACAAAAAAACTGTTAAAGGACTTGTGTTTTTTGTTGATCTGTCAAGCTTTAAGTACTGCTAAATTACACTTCACTTACGTATTTGCTCATGCAACCGTCTCTTAAATGACCACCCTATAACTGTGTTCTGTGTCTATACTTTATCTAAATGTGATACAAACTTTTACAAAGTTAAATAATGAGCTAAATCTCTCTTTTATTCAAAAGTGCTATGTTTAACCTCCATTCTAACAGTCAGCCTCTATTTGCCTTCAAAGGTCCCGCAAATGCTAACCTGGTCAGTCTTGCCACGAGAAGTTAAAGACAGCCCTCATCATTGTGGACAGGCCTTAACCAAAGACTTATTAGATTGGCGCTACCCTTCTTCTGTGCAGAACCACAGAGCCACTATCTGCAGGGCAACTAAGTCCTTTTTAAAACTTTCTGGCCTCCAGGGATACAAAGTCTCTAAGAAGAAGGCTCAATTATGCCTCCCACAAGTCACCTACCTAGGTGTGGTCTTAAAGGGACAGGCTCCCTAGAGCCCTTCCTTCTTGAGCCCCTTTTAAATAATGTATGGCCACCCATTTCTCTTAGGAAACTTGCCTCCAACAGACTCTGCTCCTCTGGCTGACTACTACCTTATCTTAACATCCTCCAGGAACTTCTCAGATAGCATGCAGACCAGATCCTACCCCACCCCACAGAGGGCCCTATAACAATTTCAATTAAACCAGGGGCTCTTGCTCTCCTAAAGGATCTTCGACCCTCTACGCTGGGACCTCAGTGGACCGGCCCTCATCTGGTCATCCTCACAATGCCTACCACTGTCAAGCTCAATGGGACCCCCCAATGGAGCACCTTTCAAGGATAAAAAGTTGCCCACCAACTTCAGGCTCTTCCATAACAACAAAGGATGAGTACTCTTGCGTACCGCTGGGCCTCACGTGGCTACGCCTCTCCTGCAAACTCTCTTCCTCTTCCACTTCTGCATAAGTTCTCAGTCCTCACCTGGCTCTCGATCTGCTTTCCCTTCACAGCCCAGAAATCCTCCTCCTGTGACCCATGCGTGCGCACTGAGTGGGCAGGACGTATTGTTACTAAGATTTTACTGTTCCACAATTACTATTTCTGTGCAGGCTCTGTTATTGGGTTATAACTCACAATCACACCATCTATCAAGTGTGATAATCAATTTACCTGCTTCAACCCCACTTATTGCCCTGTGGAGCACTGGTTAGAACTCAGGAGTGGCCACCTTGCTGGGAACATTGTTACTCAAACCCAGGTGTTCGATCCTGAAAAACCAGTGTCATTACTGTTTGATGCTTATGCGGCCATAGACAAATATGTGGAGGTACAGGCTGTGGCTGTGGAGGCCTGGGTTGGGAAAGGACCTATACATCAAATGAAAAATGTATGTGCCAGGGAGACAACTCCTGGCTGTGTACTAATGAGGGTTATCATTTTTGCCCTTTTGGAGTTGTGTTTCATGGGGCTACACACTTAGCCCTCCTTCAAAAGGGCACTACTACCCCTAACTGCAGCCAAGCCACCTGTAACCCTGTAAATTACACTGTACTCAGCCATCTGATTGGACACAGGGACAGATGGTTTTCTGCCATAGGTGGATTTAAAACACCAGTGGGGGCAGTGGGCCTAAATGATGCTATGGAAATACAAACCCTTAAACCAGGAAAATGCTCTTTAACCCTAGATGCCTCCAGGATCATTCAGGGAACTCAGCAGACAGACTTCCCAGCAGATGCTACTACAACCTTCTCCCAACAACTAGCCTTGTCTGCAAATGAAGCCTGGGACAAACCTTCAGCCTCCGCTCCTGGGGACCTCACAAATTTCCAAATTCCAGCCGAACCCCCTTTAATGACGCCCCCACTCAGCACGAAGCAGCTAGCTCGATCGGCGCCCATAATACCAACAAAAGGCTGGAATGTTAGGTCCCTGGCATTCTTGGGGTGGGCGGAAGGACCCGAGGCTACACCTTAAAACCAGACCCCCTGATTTATGACTACTTGTTTCTCCCTGCCTGATTGTTTCTCAGCTTGCAAAACAACTCAGGAACTTCTAGTTACTCAACTAGCCAGGCATGTTGACCTGTTCCATCTGGTGATCACAGATAATCAGAGACCAGACTCTCTTTCCCTCCCCCATGGCTTGGCCCCTCCTATAAAGCCCACTACCCAATTCAGCCAAGCAGCCTCACTCTGAACCCAACAAGAGTGATGGCCCTGTGGTCTTGACCAATAAACCTTTCCTTTCCACATGTGGCGTGGTCTTTATTCTGCAGTACCTGACGCTTACTACACCTGGGTTCTGCTCTACACACTTTCTGTGAGGAGCAGATTACGAGAAGCCTATGAGAATTCAGCATAAGCACAGTTGCGCTCAATGATCTGCAGGCTGAGCTTGGCACAGCACCAGCAGCAGAAGAGAGTAAGAAGGCGAAATGCAGCACAGCTGCTTTCCTAAGTTGCTTATGTTCAGAGAAGAAGGAACACAGGTTTCTCTCGTTACAATGTCACACCCATCCCCGAGAACTGTTGCTCCACCTCCTGTTTACCACTGGGTATAAAAGACTCTCTGAAGGAAGACTCAAGGTTTTTTGATGGGGGATGGATTGATTGGTTGGCGGCTTGCAAGTTGACTGCCTGCAGAATGCTGCTGCTGCTGCTGAGTTATGCTAGAGATTGGAGGAAATGTGGGACAGTGCAAGTCTGAGCACCGAGACTTTAAGAGAGATTAAGGAAAACATGGGACAGTGTGAGTCTAAGGAAAGAGACTAAAGAACAGAAAAGAATAAAGACTTTAGAAGTAAGATTTTAATGAATAAGAGAAAAGAAGCAAAGTGAGAGAAGAGTTATTAGAGAAAAGAAGCAACGAGGCTGTTGTGTGTCTCCATCCGAGTGCCCAGCACACCTGGCCCCAGCTTTCTGCACATCTGTCTTCTATCATTTGTCCCTTCTGAGTCTCCTGTCACCCCAGTTAGTCAGGAAAAACAGGAGTGTGCAAAAGCTCACTACAACTTTCTATTAAGTCACTGAATTTTCACAGCAATCTGATGACACTGGTTCTATAATCCCTGTTTTATGGATGTGAAAACTGAGGCTCAAAGAGATTCTGACTATACTCCCCTCTGAGTAACTCTAACCTACAGAGCCAGGGGACCAAAAGTGGACCAAAGTAGCTGGGCACCAGTGGCTCACACCTGTGATCCTAGCTACTGAGGAGGCAGAGATTAGGAGGATCACAGTTTGAAGTCGGTCCAGGCAAATAGTTTGTGAGACCCTATTTCAAAAAATCCTGCCACAAAAAATTGGGCTTGTGGAGTGGTACAAGGTGAAGGCCCTGAGTTCAAGCCCCAGGTACCACACACACACCACACACACACACACACACACACAAAGGACCAGAGCTACAAAAAAAAAAAAAGAGAGAGAGAGAGAGGGAGAGGAGAGAGAGAAAGCAAACAGGGAGTAATGCCAGGGTGGAATTGAGCCAGAAGAACCTGAACCTGAATGATCCTCCCGTGCTTTTCCCAAGGGGGAGAGGCCCCACCTGCACACCCTGAAGCCCCTGGAAGTCTGAGAGTTGGCCCTGCCCCCCGCCCTGTGCTCCCACTCACTGGGCTCCTGCTCAGCATCCATCTTGGCCTTGAGCAGCATTCGCAGCCGCGACACCTCCTGCCGCTTCAGCTCGTCCAGCTTTGTGCGCACATGGTGGCTGACGAAGTCCAGCTCTCGGCTTAGCTTCCCGCTCTGCTGGGAGGGACGGGACAGTGGTCAGGCTGGGGGCCTGGAGGGCCCACTCCAGGCAACCTCATCTGTGCTCCTCCCTTTCTGGCCTTCTATAAGCTCTCTGATGCATGGGTCGTCTCTTCCCCTCAACTGCTTAGAGCTGGCCCTCACTCCTAGAGCCCATAGGACCAGGTTCCAACCCCTCAGCCTGGCATTGATGCTCTGCCTGCCTCTGAGGCCCCAGCTCCCATCTCCCAGCTCAGATAGCACAGCTGGTTCCTGTAGCACTCATTGGGTGTGCGGTCCCCGGTCCACAAGGCTATTTCCCACCACAGGACTTTTGCACATGCTGTTTCCTTTCCAAGCCTAACCAGATCTTCACTGTCTTTCAAAGGTCCAAGCAGATGGCACCTCCCTTGGGAAGTTCCCCAACACTGTTCTCAGTACAGTGGCTTCTCTGAGCTATTTCTATTATCACTGTGACTCTGTTTCTCCTGCCTTTCTTCTGCTCACAGCCCCCTAGGGGCGAGGCACTGAAGGCCCTGCAACACTTCTGTGTATGTCAGTCACTCACTCCACTTCTCTACCACAACCCCCCAACCCCCCAGATGTCTCTCACATATGTTTGTCCTGATTTCCTCTGGGATTTCCCCAGCACCCTCTGCTATCTCGGATTGCTCAGTCCTTGTAACTCAGCAATATATTAAAATTCAGAAAAAAAAAAACAACACGTATGGCTGGCTGCCCAGCCCCAATGACCTTCCTGCTAGTGTCCAGCCCCTTCCCCCACTCCCCCTTCACAATCATTCTTTTAATGCCCATCCCCTCCAACCTCCCTTTCTCCACCACAGGATGCTTAAACCCCCAGCCTGTAAGAGAGGCGTCCTTGCCCCTCTCAGAGTGTCACTGATGGCCGAGGGTCCCTCTCAGCTCTCCTCTCCCTAATAAAGACCTGTTGCTTGTGAAGGTCGCAGATTCTTTCTCAGTCTCTCTCTCTCTCTGTTTTTCTTTCAACAACCACTGACGATTGGCTCGCTCTTCCTTCCTTCCTTTCTTTCTTTTCTTTCTCTCTCTCTTTTCTGTACTGGGCATGGAACCCAGGGCCTTATGCATGCCTGGTAAGGGGTCTTGAGCCATACCCCCAGTTTTATCTTGTTTTTGGGACAGAGTCTCACTGACTTTGCCCAGGCTAGCCTTGAACTTGAGATCCTCCTGCCTCTGCCTCCTGAATAGCTGGGATTACAGATGTGTACCATGTGTCTAGCTACAACAATTAACACATAGGTTTGCAATGGGCCAGGTCAGGTACCTGAAGTGGGGACTATCACCGATTCACAATGCTGAGCACAGGGAACTGTCACAGTAGTCTGAGTCCCCAGAGGAAAACTAAGGAGCAGAAAGTTTTAGTCACCTGCCTGGGACAGTGAAAGGTGGAGCTGAGATCGAATCTCAGAAGTGACCCACCCCAAACCCACCTGCCAACTGGCTGCTCTGGCTGTGGGCAGGCACTCTGGGGTAAAGCGCTTTCTGGACCTCAGCTTCTGCCCCTGCTGGGCTGGGGAGGGTGGTTCTGTTCTGTCCACCCACCAACTGGATGGGGAGTTCCAGAAGGACCAGAGTCACCTCCTGCCCTGTGTCAGACCCTGAAGTCCCTACAACGTCAAGGGATGAGGAGAATTCCACACTGCAATGTGCATTCCAGTACACGTTGGGACACGGATAGGGAAGGGACATGGGCTCCTCATAGGAGCCCCAGCATCACCTGGCAAGAGATGCTCCGTGGGGCTGGGTGGGGTGCGGGTATTCAGTAAGCCCAGGGATGGAGACCTGGGCCCATGGGAAAGACTGATACTGCTACCAGGGCCTCAGTGTGCTCCTCCATGAAATGGGGCAGTCCTGGCTTTTCTGGTGCCCCAACGTGAGACTCAGCAAGTGATCCCAGCACCTTCGTACTTTTTTTTGGTGGTACTGGAGTTTGAATTCAGGGCCTTGCACTTGCTAGGCGGGCATTGTGCCACAGTCTTTTTGCTTTTAGTTTGTTTTTCAGATAGGATCTGGTTCTTTGGCCTCTCTTGAACTGAGATTCTCCTACCTCTGCCTCCTAAACAGTTGAGAGTACAGGTGTGCACCACCACACCTGGCTTGTACTGTGCATTCTTCCAGTGTAGACAGCACTGCGCTCAGCCCTCCACTAAGCTGACCCTCACAGAACATTCACAAACACTGCAAAACCAGGAGCCTAAAGCCCTTCACACACCTCCTTTCAGATGATTAAAACCAGCGCCCATTCCAAAGTGTTGAGTTCAGTTCAGGTCAGCTTCCCTGCTCTGTTAATTAAACTTTGGGACATTGGCTAGGGGAGATGACTGGATAGAAATATTACTCTATTCATTTACCTCCCAGCCTACAATATGAAAAGAAAGAAAGAAACAAACAAACAAACCAGCACCCAGGGAGGCAAGGTCCATCATCACTACCATTTTACAGGTGGGGAAACCCAGGCACAGCAAAGTGAGACTCCACAGCTGGCAAGTGGTAAGAGTCAAGACTGGAATCCTGGGGACGTGGCTCAAGTGGTAGAGTGCCTGCCTAGCAAGCACAAAGCCCTGAGTTCAAACCCCAGCACCGCCAAAAAAACCCAAAAAACCCAAAACCCTTGCTAGAGGCTAAAAGCCTGCCCATTCGTCTCCATCCTTGACCTCATATTCTGGGTTCACTGAAACTCTTCCCAGTGACCCAAGAAGGCACTCTCTTCTTCCTTCCTTCTCACTTTGGCAGAACAGCTGGAGACATGTGGTGCCCTCTCAGGCCGAACACTGTCCTGTAAACAGGCACACCAGCCCTCCAAGTCCCCAACTGCACCTTGATGTCCTCCGCATTGGCAGCCTGCAGCTTCTCTCGGAAGTGCCCATCAGTCTCCAAAACGTTGATGACTTCCTGGAGGTAGCGGTGGTAGTACAGGCCTGTGTCCTGAGGGACAAGAATGAACATATCAGCCCCTGCCTCATCCTCTCTCTGTCTCCTTCCCAGGGTCCTGCTCCCCACTGCGGAGGGCCAGGGTGACCCCGCAACAAGTCAGAGACCTGCTTCACAAAGGCTCCAGGGCCAAGAGATCCAGGTTCGAATCCTACCTACAACCCACCTGAGCCTCTGCCACAGTTTCCACCTCTTCCAGGTCTGTGGCAGAGCTGACATGAAAATCATATGGAGGCACTGGGCATGGTGGTTCATGCCTGTCATCCCAGCTACTTGGGAGGAAAAGGTAGCAGGATCATGAGTTTAAGGCCATCCTGAGCTAGATCATAAGTTCCAAACCAGCCTGAGGTATCCCGTTGGACCCCAGTTCAAAACATTAAGGTCTGGGGATCTAGCTCAGTGGTAAAGCACCTGCCTCACATGCACAAGGCCATGGGTTTGATTCCCAGCACCGTAAAAAGAAAAAAAATCATATAGATGAACACTGAACTCAACATTACCCACAGAGGCAAGCCCAGAGGGATACAGCTTGGTTGGTAACCAGGGAAATATATGATCATCCATCCATCCATCTACCCATGCACTCATCTATCCACTCATCAATCCATCCACATACCTATCCATCCATCCCTCCACCCACCCATCTTTATCCATCCACCACCTATTCATTCATCCATCCACCCGTTCATCCATCCACTCACCCATCCATCCATCCATCTACCCACGTACTCACCTATCCATTCTTCCACCCACCCATCCATCTTTATCCATCCACCCACCTATTCATTCATCCATCCACCTGTTCATCCATCCATCCACCCACATCCATCCTCCTACCCATCCATCCATCTATATCCATCTACCCACCTATTCATCCATCCATCTATCCACCTACTCATTCATCTATCCATTCATCCATCTACCCATGAACTCACCTACCCACTCATCAATCCATCCACACACCCATCCATCCATCATCCATCCTTCCACCCACCTATTCATCCATCCATCTACCCATCCATGCACCCACCAACTCATCCACCCATCTATCCATCCATTCATCCATCCATCCATCCATCCACTCTTTGACAAGCAGTGACAGAGCCTTACATGGGCCAGGCACTCTTCTAGGGTAGGCAGCAAGTGACAAGACCAAGATCCCTGGCCTCCTGCCTTACCCTGGGGCCTCATTCTTCTTATCTGTAAAACGGGCAATAGTCATCCCTTGGTATACATAGGGATTGGTTCTAGGACCCCCACAGACACAATGCTCAAGCCCCTTATATACAGCAGCATAGTATTTGTATACAAGTTACACATGATCTCCTGTATACTTTTATTATCTTTTTTCTTGTGGTGCTGGGGATAGAACCCAGGGCCGGAAGCAAGCTAGACAGACTAGTGCTCTACCACTGAGCCACACCCCCAGCCCATGTTACAGAGGTTTATAATCCTCTGTGATTTCTACCAGTCTTGGAATAGATATACATTTGGGGCTGTGGGTGGAGCTCAAGTGGTAGAGCAATTGTCTAGCAAGCATGAACAACCCCCAGTACCGCACAAAAAATAAATAAATTTTCTACGAAGGAGGCTGAGTGCAGTGGCTCACAGCTCTAATACCAAGTACCCATGGGAGGTAGGATAACTGCAGTCTGAGGCTGACCCAGGCAAAAAATTTGCAACCCTATCTAAAAACTACTTAAAGTAAAAAAGTCCTAGGGGTGTGGCTCAAGTGGTAGAATGCCTGTCTCAGAAACACAAGGCCCTGAGTTCAAACCCTAGTACCACACACACACACACACACACAAAAAGATTCCTTCTTAGAAGAGAAGGGTATTTTTTCTTGTGTTTTTGGTTTTTGGCAGTACTGGGGTTTGAACTCAGGGTCTTGCACTTGCTAGACAGATGTTCTATCAAACCTCCAGTCCGTTTTTGGTGATAGGGTCTTAGGTGATTTGCCTGGTACTGTGATGCTCTCTATCTAAGCCTCCTGCATAGTAGTTGGGACTACAGACCTGCACCAACCCAGCCGGCTTGTTTGCTGGGATAGAGTTTCTGTAACTTTTTGCTGGGGCTGGCCTTGAACCCCATCCTCCAATATCCACCTCCAGAGTAGGTGGGATTACAGGCATGAGGCACCTCATCTGGGCGTGAGGCACCTCATCTGGGCGTGAGGGATGGATCTTAAAAGAACAGAGAGGTTTTAGTGGGGAGTGATGCAGATTTTTCAGTTAAAATCTGACTTAATTTTCCACATCTCAGAGAAGAAAAAAAAAAGGAAAAAATTTTCCACATCTCAGAGTCAGGGTCCCTCAGTTTTTCACCAAGTCACAGCCCTCGTACACCAAAGAATGGCAGGTAAACAACAAGGCACAATCGTGGGACAGAGAGTCCCTGGAGTATCCTAAACCCCAGGGGCTTTGGGATGAATAGGAATTGTACCACTGCAAACACCCGCAGGAGAGCAGGGCAGGGCCACTCACCGGGCTCTCGGTCGCGGGGTTCTCCTCCTTACTGGGTGCCCCCCGTTCCAGGGGCACGGCGAGCACGGCACGCAGCAGCAGCAGCGGGGGCAGGAGGAGGAAGAGGGTTCCGCGGGGCCCGGAGCGTGGCATGGCTGTGTGGTCTGTGGGAGGTGGATATGCCAAGCATCCCCATCCCTTGGACCCATGAGTCTGGGCACCCAGTGCCACCCCCACTTCCAGGAATCAAGACTCAAAGCATTTCGTCACCTGGGACCCAGGATTCCAGGCCTTTAGCCTTCCCTTCCCCCGACTCAGAAGTCCGGGTCCTCGGACCTAGCAGTCCAGGCTCCAACACCCTCCTCCCTCCGACTAAGGAATCCGGAATCTCCATCCCCTCCTCCCCCAGACCCAAGAATCCAGGCCTCCAGCCTCCTCTTGTACCAAAATCTGGAAATACTAACACCCAGCCCATCCTCCTCCAGGACTTAATGTGCTGGGGACTCAGATCCCCAAGCTCCCAAGCACCCGGAGTCTGGAACCCGGGCCCCTCACCTCTCCTTTACTGCAGAGGGCGTTTTCCCGGGCAAGGACCTCCGGCGAGTTTCTAGTGATTTCCCTCCTAGGCCACGCCCACTTTCCCGCAGAGGGCCCGCCCCCAGAAGTCTGATTGGTCCACGCTGGCTCCGGGATCTTTAGTCTGGATCTAGCGGCCGCGCTCCTTGCAGACGTCGCTAGCCTATTCTCCGAAACCTCTCCTCCTTTATCGGAAGTTCAGACTCTTATCTCAACATTTCCTGCCTTGTAGACAGAAAGAGAGCGGAGATCTTCAAAGAGAATTACAAGTTCCTGCAGGCCGCGGACAAAAAAAAAAAAAATGAGCCAACGTCCGCGGACATCTTGGCCCTTTCGCCTCATGGGAGTTGTAGTTTTCCCATTCACTTTTATCCTGCGAGTTACAAGTCGGTCTGTGCAAGGTAATGCACAGCCTACCTTGTAAGTTTCTTATAAGCAACATATGTGGAACGAGGATTCAAGGCGGCCTCTCCCGAGTCCCTTTAAGGAACATCAGCAGGCCGTTCCAATTCAGACCCCCTGGAACCGTGTTGCCAGGCTGCATTGATGGCCGGGGTCATTATTTGTTGGAAGTGGAGCTAAGGGGGCCAGGAGAGCCAGGACTAGTGATAGTCCTTGTGGGAGTTCCCCATTACTCTCAGCCCTTTTTCTTCCCCTGCCTATTTTCCAGAGATCCAGAGATTAGGTCCCCAGCTCCTAAAAGAGAGGGTCAGGTATGTTTAGAGTTTGGCTACAGAGGCACGGTACTGAGGTGTGAATGTGAGATTTCCACGTGCCAGGGAGGAAAAGACATCCATCTCCAGGATCCCAGCAGGTGGGCGCTGGAGTCTGGGGTGTGGAGCCCAGAGCCCTGAGTGCGGAAGAGATTTAGGTATTTGGATAGAGAGAACTGAATCACTGGGCTGCTGATAGAACCAGGCTACTGGGTCTCAGATAGGATGGGATGCTGGGATTTGGGGTGCCAGGATCAGGAGAAAAATGAAGGTGTTGGAGGGCAGCGTCTGTTCTATTGGGATGTTGGGTCTGGATCCTGACTCTGCCTTCTTGCTTTTTCCAGGATGTCTGCGAATAATGACACATGGAAGAGAGAGTGAGCCGGAAACTGAATGGGCAGTGGTGGGGTGGGGGTAGAGGGAGAAGTTCAAGGTTGACTGTGCTGCCCTCCAAACCCCACTCAGACTTGGCTTCATAAGTGTGTTTGCAGGCTCTGCACCAACAATCTTGCAGGAAGGGGGGTGGTCATCTGGACTTCTGGGTCCTATAGGGAGAGTGCTACTGGAGAAGATCCCTGGGTCTGAAAGACAAGGGACAGGGGCCTGCCTGGACTCCTGAGTCCTGAGACAGCAAGGGTCTGAGATCTCACTTGGATTCTATTTTTATTTTGTTTTAATTTTGGGGGTGGGCCTTGTGTTTGCTAGGCAAGCAAAGGTCTACCACTTGAGCCACACTACCAGCCCTTTTATGATTTAGTTATCTTTTGGATAGGGTCTCCAGTTTTTGCTACCATGGGCCTAGAACCATAATCTTCCCTCCTATGCCTCCTGTATAGCTGGGATGATGGCCCATGCCACCATGCCCAGCTTGTTGGTTAAGATGGGGTCTCACTAGCTGGGTGCTGGTGGCTCACACCTGTAATCCTAGCTACTCAGGAGGCAGAGATCAGGAGGATCTCAGTTCAAAGCCAGGCATCCTCGGTAAATAGTACGTGAGCACCTACCCTTCACAAAAATAGGGTTGGTGAAATCAAGGTGAAGGCAGGGGTCTCACTAACTTTTTGCTCAGGCTGGCCTCAAACTTTGATCCTCCCATCTTTGCCTCCCCATTAGCTGGGATTACAGGCATGTATCACCTTGCCCTCAGGGCCTCTACTTCTAGATAGGTCAGTGCTGGGGGAAAGAACTTCAGAACCAATGGAGAAGGCTCAGGTTCTGCACCTTCTGTGACTTCACATGGGCTCAGAACCCTAGTTGGACAGGAGGCAGAAGGGGAGGGACTGGCTCTTGGGCAAGTTGAGATGTCTTTCTTGCTGTCATTATGGGCCTGTATTTGTCCCAGGACCAGGGGGGATGAACTTGCTGCTATGAGGCTGCAGAAGCTGGAACAGCAGGTACCGTGCTCAGAAATCTTGCCATCCCTCCTCTCTTCCCCCACCCAAACCTCCCCAGAAACTCCATCCCAAGATTTGCTCTGGGACACCAAGTCCTCCCATTGGGAAAGAAGCAAATCCTGGCCATAAGAGTCCAAAAATTCTAAGGAAAAGGAGTTCTGGATGGCAGGTCCCCTAGTTGCTGGGGGAGGAGATGGCTGGGTGCTAGGAATCATGGATCTGAGGGAGAAGGAGGTGAGGGACTGAGGACCCTGGGACCGTGGAGGAAGGGGCTCAAGGGCTTTCCCATCCACCACCCCAAACCCGTCTTCCCGTCGGGTTCCTGGAACCCCTACCCCCGCCACGGCCCCTCTCCTGCTCCTCCAGCGGCAGCTATTTGAGAAGAAGCAACGACGCAAGCGCCAAGAGCCTCTCATGGTTCAGGCCAATCCTGATGCTTCCTTGCGTCACCTGCGACCGCGGCCATGGGTGGAGCGCAACCAGGGTGACAGCGGTAAAGAAAAGCTAGATTGGTTAGACAAGCCTCGTGGGCGGGGCCTAGGGGAGTCAGAGGGGTGGGGCTTAGCGGAGCCTTGGGCGGGGTCTTGGTAGAGGGAGCGGGGGCGGGACCTGGTGGGCTGAAGCCTGGAGAGTTTGAGAGCCTGGTCTATGGGAGATCAGGGGCGGGGCCTTCTGTAATTGAAGGACGGGGCCAGAAGAAATCGGTTATTGGGCCCTAGTAGGGCTAGGGGCGGAGCCTGGGAGGACCTCGGAATGCCCAGAGTGAGGAGGCGGGATCTAGGAAGTCCTGCCTGCCGGCTAAGTACAACAGGGATTTAAGGGTTTGGAAATTTAGAGACTGTGATTCATATATGACTCATGTATGACTACGAGAGCCTGGAATGGGTTTGTTTCCGTGCGGTGCTGGGGATCGAACCCAGGGCCTTACACACACCAGCCAAACCTTCTACCGCTAAGCTATATCCCTAGTCCTGACATGGGATTGTTTGGGAATGGAGCCCACAACAATTGAGGGGAAGAACTGGGCTTGTTTGAGCCTTGGGATGGAGTTTGAGTTCTGAGAGAGTCTTGATAGTTTGAGCTGCAGGGAATGGGGCTGATGTCTAGGAGGTCAGGGAGAGGGCAGATAATCTTTAACGAGAACCAGAATTTGTAAGATCGTTGTAATGGGCCTTGCTGCAACTTCTCCCAGGTCTTGGGAACCCTTTTCTCCAGGAGAATGTGCCAGAGGCCCATCTGCACTCTGCTGCCCACGGTGTCCTGGGCACCGTGAGCTGTGGAGGAGATGGCAGCTGCGAGCATGGCCCCCTTGCGTTGCCGACAGATGCAGGTACCAAGTCCTTGACCCATCTATACTGTACTCTGTAGAACCCAGGAGGCTGAGGCCCCAATCCTTGCTCTCCAAAGGACTCCTTAGTTCAGGATCCCAGCCCCTCTTCCCTCATCCGATGTCTTGAACCCCTGTCACCCAAGAATCTGAGTCTCCAGCCTTTCCTTCCCCAGTATGTACGCGGGATGCTGGTCTCCAGTCCTTTTCTATTCTGATTCCCAGGCAGTTCCGATTCTGACTTGGAAGAAGTGTCTGTGGAAAATATTCCTATCTTCCCCCTACCTTATAAGCATCCTCTGGGAATTCGACGCAGGGGTTGGCAACCCCGCCAACGACATGGTAATTTCAGGGACATGGGGGGTGACATGGTTTATGTGGCAAATCAGCACTCATCCTCTTTCTTTGATAACAGCTTGATTGACACATAACTCTCATACTGTATAATTCACCTATGTCAAGCATACACTTCCATGTTTTTAGAACATTCAGAGTTGTACAACATCGTCACGATGTTAGAACAATTTTAGAACATATTCAACACTCCAGAAAGAAACTCTGAGCCAGGCACTAGTGGCTCACGTCTGTAATCCCAGCTACTTGAGAGGCTGAGATGGAGAGGATCTCTGTTCATAGCCAGCCTGGGCAAATAGTTCACAATACCCCATCTCCAAAATAACCAGAACAAAATGGACTGGAGGTGTGGCTCAAGCGGTAGAGCGCCTGCTTTGCAAGTGCAAAACCTTGAGTTCAAGCCCTAGTCCCACCCCTACCCCCCAAAAAATGTGATTCTGAATGTTTCATAATAATGGACACTTACAATGTGTGGCTGTGTCTGATTTCTGTCACTTAGCAAGTTTTTTATATATGTAATTTTTTTGAGACAGATTCTCCATATGTTGCCCTGGCTGAAGTTCTGGGCTCGTGTGAACCCCTCATCTCAGCCTCTGGAGCATCTGGAACTACAGGCATGTATCACCACACATGGGTACTTAGCAAGATTTGTTGTTTTTTGGGAGTACTGGGGTTTGACCTCAAGGCCTTGAGCTTGCTAAACAGGTGCTCTACCAGTTGAGCCACACTCTCAGCCCTTGTTTTGGTGCATCTGAGACAGGGTCTCCCTATGTAGCCCAAGTTGGTATTGAACTAATGATCATCCTGCTTCAGCCTCCTGAGTGCTCGGATTACAGGCGTGAGCTACCATGCCCAGGTTCTTAGCATGTTACAAAATTATCAGAACTTCATTACTTCTGTTCTAATGAGCTAGGAAATGATTTCAATAGAGTATTCCTAGTTGGCACCCCAAAATCCACTCCCCATGTTCATTACCCAGTCCCTTATATGGGGCATGGAGTGTGGCTCGTACAGTACTTGCCCAGCATGGGTAAGGCACTGCATTTGATTTAATATCACCATGAGGAGACAGAGAGAAAGAGAGAGAGAGAGAGAGAGAAGGGGAGAGGGGAGAGAGGAGAGAGAGCTCTAACTCAGTCCTTTGCCTCAGGGCAGGCAGAAACTCCTTGCAGAGCCTTCTATGCAAAGGGGAGGAAAAGGATGTGGCAAGGAAGGGCAATGAGTAATGAGTAGGGGCTGAGAACCCAGGAGGTCTAGCCTCATCTAGCTAGCCCTGGTGATCTTTTCCCAAACTTCTGGGATACAGTTATTCTGAGCTCCATCCCTGGCTTCTTCTCCCTGTTAGGGGCCAGTGCAGAGGACAAGAGTGAATCCCAGGATGTTGGAGATGAATACGGGGTACCCAGACCTGGATCAACCCCTAGAATGGATGATGATGATTGGGGAAGCAGAGCCTTGGCATCCTGCAAGGTGGGAGGAGTCACAGGCACAAAGAATGCATCCTCTGGGGAGTCCCCCTCCCCTCTTTATCTGCGCTGGTGGTGGGCAGAAGCATCAAGCCTGTTGTGACAGAACTGGCAGAAGCACTGTGTGTGTGTGTGTGTGTGTGTGTGTGTGAGAGAGAGAGAGAGAGAGAGAGAATTTATCAAGTCTGGAAGATCCGACTTGATGTGAGTTTGGCCATTAAGATGAAGCCTACTACGGGGCATGGTGATGCATGCCTGTAATCCCAGGACTCCAGAGGCTGGGGCAAGTAGATTGTGAGTTCACGGCCAACTTGGGCTATACAGTGAGACTTAAAAAAAAAAAAAAAACGAGGAGGAAGAAGAAGGAAAGAATACAGCCCATGGAAAGGCACCGAGCATCGGAAAGGGCAAGTGATAGGGAAGGGCGAGTTGGTACTCATTGGGTGTATCTGGGCTTGTTATTAATTAATTAATTAATTAATTTGCGCAGTGCTGGGGTTTCAACTCAGGGCTACACCTTGAGCCACTCCACCAGCCCTTTTTTGCAATGGGGTTTTTTGAGTTAGGGTCTGTCGAAGTATTTGCCCAGGCTAGCTTCGAACCGTGAGTCTCCTGATCTCGGCCTCCTGTGTAGCTGGGATTACAGATGTGCACCACTTCATTACGGTATCTAGACCAATACCGGTTTTAGCCGACCAGGCAATGTTCTCAAACGGATTCTCTATTAGGGGGAGCGGGTGAGATTGTAGGTATCAGCCAATCAACAGACGTTCTGCACTTGGTTGGGCGGGCTATCTGAGATGCTTGACCAATAAGCAGAACCCATGTATAGTAGGGGGTGTGTCCTTGAACTGGGCTGGCCAATCAGTTGGCAAGGCTGGGCCTGACTGCCTCTTAACTTTGAATAGAGGGAAGACCTGGAAGAGAAGGAAGAGGAGTCTGCCGGGACCATCTCCTTGGTGGCGACTTACAAGGAGGACGAGGAGTTGTCCGAGGCCCCTGAAGGCGAGGGTGATCTGGGCAACTTCAGTGTGGGATTCGCAGCCGCTTTGCTACCCCTTGCCCCCGGCCCTCGGCTGGGCGAAGACATGGAGGCTTATGTCCTGAGACCCGCGCCGCTGGGACGCGTAGTACAGTGCCGCATCCATCGGACCCAGATCCGAGTGGACAAGAACAACTACCCCTCCTACCACCTCTACCTGGAGTCGGCTGATGGTGGGAAGGTGCGGTCCAGCCCCTTGTGCCCGGTGGGTCCCCAGTCTCCTCCTCCTTCTCCTCTTCTTCTTCTTCTCCTTCTTTTCTTCTTCTTCTCTCTTTCCCCCACCCCTTGCACTCAAGGCCTTCACCTTGAGTCACTCCACCAGCCCTTTTTTGTGATGGGCTTTTTCAAGATAGGGTCTCACAAACTATTTGCTGGGGCTGGATTCGAACCTTAAACCTCCTGATCTCTGTCTCCTGAGTTGGTAAGATTACAGGCATGAGTCACTGGCGCCCAGTTGATAGGATGTTTTTTAAAAATTATATATTTATTTATTTATTTTTAGTGGGAAAGGGATTTGAACTCAGGGCTTCACACTTGCAGAGCAGGCGCTCTACTGCTTGAGCCACGCTACTAGCCAATTTTGCTCTGGTTCTTTTGGAAATGGAGTCTCATGAACTGTTTGCTCAGACTGGCCTTGAACCGAGATCCTCTTGATCTTAGTCTCTCAGGTAGCTAAGATTACAGGCATAGGCCAACAGTGTCCAACTATGTGATAGGCTGTTCTTTCCATCCACAGCACTTCCTCCTGGCTGGGCGGAAGAGGAAAAGGACCAAAACCTCTAATTATCTCATCTCCCTGGACCCCACAGACATGGCTCGGGATGGGATGAACTTTGTAGGCAAACTCAAGTAGGCAGATCCCTGACAGAAGTAAAGGGAGTGGGGGAAGAGGATAAAAGGACTACATTTCCCAGCTCGCCACAGAGCACATTTCCCCCTGCTCTAGGGGCTGATGGGTTTTGTTGTATATCCGGAGGATTGGGAAGAAAAAGCTGAAAGTTTTGGATGACACAGGCTGGCTTTTTTTTTTTTTTTGGTGGTACTGGGGTTTGAACTCAGGGCCTCAATGCTTGCTAGGCAGACGCTCTACCACTTGAGCCACTCCACCAGCCCTCAGGCTGGCTTTTAAGACATGTGACTTCTTCAGAGGGAAGGGACTAGAATCTCTAAGTGCCCCAGTGGGAGAAGAGGTCCGGGATGTTGTGAATTCTTGTGTTCTACAGGGAAGAAAGAAGATTCCTCAAGGGTCAAAGTAGAAAGCTCAAATAATATGACTGACATAAGAGAGGGCAGGGACCATTAGTACAGGGTGCATGATGCTTAATTAGAGGGTTGATTTGAGAATGCATTTCAAGTTCGGCCTAACAGTAACTACTATTATTACTACTGCTTCTTCTGTTCTATCTACTGACCTCCTGGAGCAGATCCAATGTCCTAGGTACCAAGTTCACCATCTATGACAATGGGGTAAATCCCAACCGGAAGAATTTTATTCATGAGACTGCCCAGATCAGGGAGGAGCTAGGAGTTGTGTGTTATGTAAGTTGAGAAAGTGGGGAGGAGTAGGGAGAGAATGGGGCAGGAGAAAGAGCCAAGGGCAACTGGAATATTATATTTTCAGGAGACCAATGTTTTAGGATTCCGGGGGCCTCGGAAAATGTTTGTGGTCGTTCCACGAATGAACAGCCAGAATCAGAGAATTAGCATCCAGCCACAAAATGTGAGTCCTCAAGATTGGGAATTTCTTGGCCGAGGGAGGGAGGGGGGCTCTGTGGATCCCTTGTCCTACATCCCAGGAAAGGAAGGGTCACTTGTGGGTTGTAGGTCACCTGTGAAGCCCGAAGGACTTTACCAGACTCTCATTTCAGAGAGAAAAGACTAAAGAATTAAAAATTCTGTCTGGAGCTTTGCTCAGTGGCAGTATTGTAGCCAATGAGGTTTATCAAGCCACGGTTATTGCTAATTGAAAAAAAAAAAAAAATTCTGTCTGAAAGCCAAGAGCTGGTGGGCCTGGTGCGCCTGTAATCCTAGCTACTCAGGAGGCAGAGATCAGGAGGATTGTGATTTGAAGCCAGCCCGGGTGTTGGTGAGACCCTATCTCGATAAAACCCTTCACAAAAAAAGGACTGGTGGAGTGGCTGAAGGTGTAGGGCATCTGTCTGGAGGGCTTCTGGCAGTCTAACAATTCACTTTTGCTACTTTACCTTAAAGGAACAGGAGTCACTACTGAGTCGCCTCCAAAGAGGGGACAGCCATGGGTTGCTTTTGCTGCAAAACAAAGCCCCTTTGTGGAACGAAAATAATGGCACCTACGTGCTTGATTTCCATGGTCGGGTTACTCTGGCCTCGATAAAGAACTTCCAGATCATGCTTCCGGATGACCGTGAGCTCCTGGGAAAGGGTTTACCTGGATTAGGGGGCTGGGTGGGGGGGGGGTGTTGGTGAGTGCATGAGAACTACCTCTCCCATCAGCACTTGGGCGTTTTCCTAGACCGGGCAGGTGCCTAGCTGTTGCAGAGCCTATTGGGAATTGTAGTTTACAGTTCCTAGCTTAGTAAGGATACTGCTAAGGCTCTTAGAAGTGGTAGTTCCCGAAGTTGAGAGGCCATGAGCAGGTGTGACTAATGTTTAGTTCCTGACTTCCTCCTCAGCGGACTATGTGGTCCTCCAGTTTGGTCGCGTGTCTCCAGATACATTCACCATGGATTTTCGATATCCTCTTTGCCCGCTCCAAGCCTTCGCCATCTGCTTATCGAGTTTTGATGGGAAACTGGCATGTGAGTAATTCAATAAAATGACATCCATCACTAGCTTCTTCTATGCCTGTGCATTTGGAGAAGAGTTCCTGTACAGTCCTGTGGTCTGGGGAGTGGGCTGTGCAGCAATGCTTACTGTCTTGGAGGTCACAGGCATCATGGGGGCTGGGCCTTTAAGAACAACAAAGGCAGAATACTCAGAGAAGCACGTGGAGCCGGGCACAGGTGGCTCACACCTTGTAATTCTAGCTACTCAGAGGCAGAAATCAGGAGGATCATGGTTTGAAGCTAGCCCAGGCAAATAGTTTTAGTTTGCCAGACCCTATCTCGAAAAAACCCATTACAAAAAAGGGCTGGTGGAGTGGCTCCAAGGTATAGGCCCTGAGTTCAAACTCCCGTCCCCAAAAGAGAAGAAAAGCAGGTAGTGCCTGTAGGTCGAGCCAGGGCAACTAAAACCATGTCTGATAGACTACACGTGCAGGGTTGTGAAGCTGGACCTTTGGCCCACCTGTTGAATTGGACAGACCTCTTGAGCTTGTAGGGTTCTATAAGCTGTTCATATGAACTTGGGCCAGTAACTCAAAACATGCATGGGTGAGAGTGAGACTAGTCACATCACAACTAACATTTGTCTAGCATCTATTTGATGAGCCTGGTTTTAAATTTTAACTTCCTACAATCCCTTATGTATTCATTTTTCGGGTGGGGTGGTAGTAGGGTTTGAACTTGGGGTCTCACTCTTGCTAGGCAAGTGCTCTACCATCTGAACCACACACCCCAGTATGGACACAAAAACCGAGACTATGGGCACAGGGCTTATAAATGTGAAACCAGGCAAATAGAAGGGTTTTGTTTTTGTGTGTGTGTGAAAGTGAGGTTTGAACTCAGGGCCTGAAGAGCTTGCCAGTTTATGTATGTATGTATGTATGTATGTAGGTGTGTATGTATGAATGTACGTATTTCCAGAGAAAAACTACAGAACCCCCAGTCTTTCTTTAATTGGAGGGATGATGGGAAATGTAGGTTATCTTCTATTGAGGGACCGGTCTTTTTTTTTATTCCCCTCACCACCCAAATACCTCAGCGACCACCAGGGTGGATACTGTTAATCCACACACGGAGAAGTTGCTCACTACAAATCAAAAGGCTTTATTCTTTATATAAAACAACACTTTAAGAAAAAGTTAATAAATTACATGTAACCACTTGCAGTTAGACACGCCTCCCGCTGAGGTCCAAGCTTGCAGCTGGGGCTTCACCAGGAAGGGAGGAGGGAGGGGGCGTGGCCACAGCATGGCTCAGGGGCGTGGCCTGGGCGGGGTCTCCGAAGGGTCGCAGGGGGGAGGCAGGAGCTGGGTAGGGGCAGGTACCGGGGACAGAAAAGACAGTGGGTTCCCGAGTCGTGCCCAAGCTGTGGCCCGGGAGGCGGGGGTGAGGCAGGGGCCCAGCTCCTCCTGGGCCCGGGCGATGCGGCGGGCGAAGCGGCTACGATCCCGGGCGAGTTGCTCCCAGGGGCCCCGGCGGGCGGCCTGTGCCGGCCCTGCCCAGACAGCCAGTAAATGGACAGTGACCTTCTCAGAAAAACGGACCTGGGAACAGACAGGCAGACACACGATGGAGATTCAGACAGATGCACAGGGCCAGAGGGATCCAGACAGCAAGGGTGGGGGGAGAGAGAAGCAAAGAAACACTAGTGGCACAAAAATGCTTGCTATTTGGCTAGTCACCTGCCTGGCATGGGGACCGGCTGACTCACTAATGCTAGAGATGGTTTCCTGGGGCTGCCCTTTGCCACAGCTATCACCACCTCCCACTGGGGCCCAGCCTCTTACAGAGGATTACTACAGTGTCCACAGCCCTCCCAGCAGAGTTCCTATGCAACCCTTTGCAACAACGGGAATCCAGGAGTTCTGCCATCCAGCCATTTCCCCAACCCACCCCTAGACCTAGAGGTTCAAGCTCACAGTCTCCACCTCCCTTGGGGACCTTGCACAAGACCCTGGGTTCGATTCTCAGCACCAAGAAAAAGAAAAAAATCCCAGCCCTCAGCACCCACCTTTCTGGCCTTTAGGGGAGTTTCAGGGTCTGAAACCTGGGCGGGAGCTTCTGACAACTTGAGCCGCCTTTGCAGTCGGAGGGGCAGCTTAGGAGCAGCCCAGGGAGGTGGTGGCTTCTCTCCAGGCAAATAGATGGCCACTTGCAAAGGGCAGGGCTCAGCTTCCTTCCTTTTCTTGATGGCTGCTTCTTCCTCTGCCTCCTTTCCAAGTCGACAGATCCAGCCCCTGAGGGGGATGCTCTGGTCAAGAAGGGAGGGATATGAATCTGAGTCAGCTGCTTCTCCTCCCTCACCTGCCTCTGAATCATCAAGCCTGTCCTCATGCTTCTCACACTCATCTTCCTCCTCCGTGTCCTCTCCTGGCTGATACACCCAGGCCTTCAAGAAGGCACTTGTAGGAGGGGTGGAAGAGGGAGCCTCAGTTTCTCCCTCTTCCTCATCTGATCCCAAATCACTGTCCTCATCATCTTCATCCTCTTTGTCCTCTCCTGGCCGATACACCCAGGCCTTCAAGAAGGCACTTGTAGGAGGGATGGAAGAGGGAGCCTCAGTTTCTCCCTCTTCCTCAGCTGATCCCAAATCACTGTCCTCGTCGTCTTCATCCTCTGTGTCCTCTCCTGGCCTATACACCCAGGCCTTCAAGAAGGCATTTGTAGAGGAGACGGAAGAAGGAGCCTCAGTTTCTCCCTCTTCCTCAGCTGATCCCAAATCACTGTCCTTGTCGTCTTCATCCTCTGTGTCCTCTCCTGGCCTATACACCCAGGCCTTTAAGAAGGCACTTGTAGTGGGGGTGGAAGAGGAAGAATCAGCTTCTCCCTCTTTCTCAGCTGATCCTGAATCACTGTCTTCATCTTCCGTATCCTCTCCTGTCTGAAATACCCAGGCCCTCACGGAGGCACAGGTCAGAGGGATGGAAGGACTCTCAGCTCCTCCTTCCTTCTCAGCTACTCCTAAAGCACTGACCTCCTCCTCTTTCTCTGTGTTTTTCTTACTGGGTTCACAGTCAAAAGCCCTGCATAGGGACCTCTGAGCTGGAACTAAGGCACCAGGCTCTGGGTCACCTCCTTCCCCAGCTGTGTCTCCCTTTTCCTTAGAAGCCTCTCCTAAGCAACACTCCCAGATCTTGGGGTTGGAGCCTGAAGATGCAGGGGAAATGGAGGCCTCCCTGGCTCCTTTATTTTCGGTTCCTTTTTCCTCCGTGGTTTGATCTTCTTTCTCCCCTGGGCAAGACACCCAAGAGCTGGGCTTGAATCCTGGAGATATGGGGGAAGGAGAGGCTCCTGGCACTTCTTTCTTGACAGTTTCTCCATCCTCCGCCTCCTCAACTGCTGGACAACCCTCCCAATGTGGTGATGGATAAGAAAACTCAGTCACTCCCTCGTGGTGACCAACTCCCTCTTCTTCGGCAGCCTCCTCCCCAGTGTTCCTATCAGAATTTTGCAGGCTTCTTATCAGAAGGACAGGGGACAAGTGTGCAGGCTGGCCATCTTTAAATTCCCTTCCCTGCTCTCTAGGGACGCTGTTTCCTTCTTCCTCACAATATTCTTCATCGTCACCATCTGAAAGTCCCCAAGTTTCAGGAGAACTATTGGCTTTCAGGCCAAGGCAAGGCACCTGGTCTGCTTCTCCTTTGTCTTCAGGTACACCACTGTCTTCCACGTCCCTTTGAGGATGCCTGCCACAGAGGATATAGGGGGTGGCCAAAGCATCCTTAGTGTCTAGCTCCAGGCCAGCTTCTACCTGATCAGCTCCTATTACTGCTTCCACACGCCAGGGCTCTGGTGGTCCTGGGCCCCTCAGGCGGCTCCAGGCCCGACTGAGGAAGCCCCTCAGTGGGGACAGGAGGTAGAAGGCATGGGTATCCCTCCAGAGGGTGGAGTGATGGTGCCCTTGGCCTGGAGCCATCTGTCTGGGCTAGAAAAAAGGAAGAAGAGAAAAGGAAATAAAATTCAGGAGCCATGTGTGGTGTGGTATTACACGAATATAATCCCAGCTACTTGGAAGACCAGTCTGCACAATTTATCTCAAAGTGAAAAAGGGCAGGGAATGTAGCTCAGAGCACTTGCCTAGCATTCAGGAGAAGCTACGTTCAATCCCCAGTACAAAAGAAAAAAAAAAAAAGCCATTTAGGGAATGGCAATCAGGGCAAGGCCCTGAGTCACAGCAACAAAAATAGCAACGTGAGACTCCTTAACCCTGATTCTTTCCAATCCTAGCCACGCCCATCTTTGTTCCCTTGATTCCCTTCTCTCTCCTCAATACCCAGGAGTCTGCGTACCCCGTTCTCTCCTTTCTTAGACCCAAGAGTCCAATTCCCCTTTTTCTCCAGAAGTCTCAGTTCGAAGAACAAAGGCTTTCTACTTGCTTCGCTTGGGAACAAAGAAAGTCATAGTCTCCAATTCTCTCGTTCTCCCGAGGATGGATATTGAGGCCTCCATCACCTTCCTGCCTTGGAGACTCAACATTCTGACCCGGGACGAATCCAGCATTAAGGGCTCAAGAGTCTGGCTCCCAGATTCCCTTCTCTCTCAGGCTTACGATTCCAGCCCCCCCAAATCCTTTCCTGTCCAAGACCGGTCTCCCAGCCCACTCCACCAGACCCCTTCCTGGCCATTCTCAGACCCAGGAGTCCAGACCCCCCCAAATCCTCCCTCACAACTCAGGCGCTCCGGTCCAGAATTCTCTTGTCTCGGAACTAACCCCCTCCTCATTACAGAGGGGGAGTCTGGGCTCCAGCCCCCAGCTACTTGGAGTCCCAGGCGTTCCGATCCCTTACTCACCGTCTGGGGACTGCGCGTCACCCCGGAGGTAGAAGCGCCGGCTCGGGCTGCCAGAAACGATCACAGGTCCGGACGTCTCGGGAGGCCAGCGCGTTCATCTCGCCCTCAGGCGTCGGGCTCGGAGATTCAAAAGTATCACAGAGTGCCACAAGCCTTGTCGCGACAAATAGATGCAGGGTCTTGGGACGTCTCTCATGTAAATATACACAGCGTGGGAACTGATCCAACTGCTGGTGACACCGCAGGCACGGCTTTTATAAGCTATGTCAGCAGACGTGGTGACGTCACGAGGAGAGGCGTGGTTTCGAAATCAAGACAATGGGTGGGAAGGGGAAAATAACACTGGACTTCTCGCGGAGATTCCGAGCTTTGTGACGTCACTACGGCGTTCCCCAGCGTCGCCCCGCCCCCAAACAAGCGAGCTGCTAATCAAAGGCGTAGACGCGTAAGAGGCTGAGTTGGTGCTCTACCTGTGTTCCAGGTACGCGCCTTCCCTCCCCGATTTAACCAGCAGGCCCTAGTCAAATCTCCCACCTTCACCTCCAGTGCACTTCCTCCCCGAGGTGGAAGGAAGGATATCATTGTTCCCACTTCCCAGATAACTGTAGGTTTGGTGTGAAGTCATTGGCCCAATGTGGTCACAGCAGAGTCCAGGTTCACTGCAAATGGGAACAAAAATGTCAGCCCCAGGAAAGGCAGGCACTTTGCATGGCTCATTTCTTCTCAAGGACCATGCCAATGCCAGGCGCATAATAGGTGCTCATCAAATACAGTGTATGCAGAATGACCTAGACTGATTTGTACCCATTCACCGGCAAAAGGCTGTATTCCTGGCTTACTGCTTCAAATCTATGCAAAAGCTTATTTGAACTGAAATTTTGCCTGGGTGGCACTCCTCATGGGCAGGAGGGGTTCTGCTACAAATACCAGGGCAGGGACACAGTTCCAATCCCCCCATCCTCTTTCCCTACCTGATCCATAATCTTTTTTTGGCAGTACTGGGGTTTGAACTCAGGGCCTTGCACTTGCTAGTCAGGCGTTCTACCAACTTGAGCCACTAAACCACCCCACTATAATCTTGTTTTTTTGGGGGGGGTTCCTGGGTTTCAGGAGTCTAAGCCTCACCTCTTTCAAGACCCAAGCCCAGTTCATTGAGCCCAAGCCCCTGATCGCAACAAACCCATGGGTTCCTAGGGCTCAAGCCTCAGCTACAAACATTGAGGAGTCCCAGCTACAGCTTAGAGGACCCAGGAGTTGGAGAAAGACCCCAGCCCCTCCCCTCAGCTGTGGGGGTGGCTGAGCCAGGGGTCAGGCTGTGGTGGGGAGGCCAGAAGGGGCGGGGACAGCCAGGATTGGGAGGGGAGACAGTAGCGTGGGCGGCTGGCAGAGAGAGGGAAGGACCAGCACAGAGGAAAGAGAAACTGGGAGAGGGAGGAAGAGAGACAGAGTGAGGGAGGAAACAGAAGGCGTGTAGGGCCCCGGGAGAGAGGGAAAGAGGAAGAGCTTGTGCGGGAGACAGAAAGTGAGAGAGAGCTGAGAGAGAGAGTGTTAGTAAGAGACAATCAGAGGAGAAAAGATTTAGAAAGCTTGAAAGAGAGAAAGGAAGAGAGATTGGGGAGCGAGACAGACATAAGGTAAGACATATAGTAGGAGAGAGAGCGAGAACAAGACGGGACACAGACAAAAAAAGAGAGAATGATCAAGTGAGAAGAGAGACCAAGATCTGTGAGAGGCAGACCCCAAGAGACTAAAGGAGGTGGGAGACCGTGACTGGGTGCCCCCTACCCCCACCATCCTCTCTCCTGTCACTGGGACCCCAGAGCTGGGTAAGTTCCCTGCCCACGCTGGGAGGGGCTGCCTGGGTGCACATTTCTGATGCCTCAGGGCTTGGCTTGGGGAGTTGGTAGGGGTGGTTTGAGGGTACACGGGGGAAGGGTAGGAGACAGGTAGCCTGGGACAGCCGGAAGGAGGCAGGGAACCGGGGTGCCTAAGCACAGCCAGGGTCACATTCCTGGCCAGAGCTCAGTGGGCAGGAATAAAGGAGCCCCTATTCACTGGCCGGGCCTGAGACAGCTGCCCCCTCCCCACAGCTGCCAGGACCGCCCACCTCTCTTGGCATGGCTCTTGGTATGCAGTCCTGAGCTATGGCCTCCTTCAGCCCCCCAATTCCTAAAACAACAGGCTCTTTCTCCTCAGCCTCCTCGGACCTCCAAGCTCCTGACCCCATCTCTGTCCCCAGCCGGGTCAGCTGCGGAGACACAGTCCCTTTCTCTCTCTCCCCAAGCCAATGATGGAAGAGGGTCGACCTCGGAGCACCCTCAGCCTGGCCAGCAGCGCCTCTACCATCTCTTCCCTCAGCAGCCTGAGCACGAAGGTCCGAGCTTCCTGGTGGGGATGGGGAGGAAGGTGGGGTTCTGGGCTACCTTGTCTTCCTTGGCCTAGCCCTGGGTTTTGTGCCTGGGATTGTGGTTGTTAAGGACAAAATCCTTAGCAACGGGGTCTACCAGACATGGTAAGGTCCCAAATTGAGCATCAGCTGGAGCTGGGGAATTCGGAGCCACTCCCAGTTCTAACCCCACCCCCTCCTACCTTTTTTTTTTTTTCTAATTCTAAGCCATAGTAACAGCCTCCCTTGAACTTGGTTGCTAAGGCCACTCCCAGCCAAGGTCACCTGGGAATTGACAGATGGTGGTTACTCTTGAGGAGCAGTGGCCTCTCTCTGTCCTATGTCTACCCAGCCAGTCAGCCAATCTACCCAGTAATGAAATCCAGAAAAGGAAAAAAGACCTTTCTCTGACAAGAAGACCCCATGGGCCGGGCACCGGTGGCTCAGCCTATAGTCCTAGCTACTCAGGAGGCAGAAATCAAGAGGATCCCGGTTCAAAGCCAGCCCAGGCAAATAGTTCTCGAAGTCAAGCGAGGGCCTACTCTTGCTCACCTTGTCCCCTCTGGAGCCCATTCCAGGGAAGACCCCATTCTCTTCTCTCTGTCTTCTCTCCTCAGAAGCCTACCCGGCCAGTGAACAAGGTCCATGCCTTTGGAAAGAGGAGCAATGCACTCCGAAGGGACCCCAACCTGCCCGTGCACATCGAGGCTGGCTTCATAAGCAGGTTGGGGTCAGCAGGATAAGGAAGAGGACACTGGAGGCAGTGCCCCTGGCTGTCCACCGTTTCTCTCCTTCCACATGCCCTGCTCTCACTCACTACCTCTCCCCTTACTCTACCTTTGTGTTTTCACTCATTCATTCATCCAGTGACTACTTTTGTTTTTGTTTTTTGGTGGTACTGGACTAGGCAGGTGCTCTGCCACTAGAGTCATGCCTCTAGCCCCTGACTCTTAATTTTAAAAGATTAAGCCTGGCACCACTGGCTCACACCTGTAATCATAGCTATTCAGGAGGCACAGATCAGGAGGTTCGAAGTCAGCCCAGACAAATAGTTCTTGAGATCTTATCTTGCAAAAACCCATCACAAAAAAGGGCTGGTGGAGTGGCACAAGGTGAAGGCCCTGAGTTCAAGCCCCAGTACTGCCAAAAAAAAAATTTTTTTTTAAAGATTGTGCCTTCAGCCTGGTGGTACACTTCTATAATCTCAACACTTCGGAGGCTGAGGGAGAAGGATCTGGAGTTTGAGTCAGCCTGGACTACATAGTGAGACCCTGGCTCAAAAAAAAAAAATTATGCCACCTTTTGTGGGACTCACAGTTGGAGATGATGGAGTGGTTCAGGCAGAGGTGATGGGAAGACACAAGATTCAGTTTTTTTGGTTTTTGTTTGTCTTTTGGTGGGACCAGAGTTTGAACACAGGGCTTTGTGCTTGCAGAGCAGGCGCTCTACCCCATGAGTCACACCAGGACTGGGATCAGTGCCACCTTCCTGGCCCCTCTGTGTCTCAGGCTCCAGAATACATAGGCACAGTCTCTTTACATAAAGTTCCTGAGACAAGGGGCACCTGGTCTCACCCACGCCTCCCTACAACTTCTCAATCCCCAGTTGGCAGATGGGAAACCATGCCGGTGCTGGTGGGGGAATGACGTGTTTAAGGGAATAGTTTGAAAGTGCTCAGGCTGGTGAAGTGCCTGCTTGTGAGGCCCTGAGGTCAAACCCAGTATCGCCAAAAAAAAAAAAAAAAAAAGTAGTTCTGTACTGTGTATGTCACCAGAACACAAATGCTGAGTGAGCATGACCCATCTGAATCTATTGCATCAAACAAAGAAATCTTGGGCTTGACTTAAGCGGTAAAACACCTGCCTAGCAAGCGTGAAGCCCTGAGTTCAAATTCCAGTACCGCCAAAACCCAAAACAAATCCCCAAAAGCCGTGTTTCTCTGTCCCTACCCTCTCTCTGAGTCTCTGTCCTTCTCTCCCCAGGTCTCTCCGTGTCTCTGTTCCCAAGTGTCACAGTTTCCATCTACCTTTCTATTCCCCTTTCTACTCAGTCCCTTTCCTCCTTTCTCTGTCCCCAGGACAGTTCTGGTCTCCGACTCTGGAAACGCCGCTGGTTTGTCCTCTCTGGCCATTGCCTCTTCTATTACAAGGGTCAGTACCTCAGTGGCATTGGGTGGGAAACCCCTTCCCCACCCCCACTTCCTTCCTAGCCTCTTGGCCTCCAGATGGCTGCATGAGCCCTGACCCCAGCGCCCTCTCTTCAGACAGCCGCGAGGAGAGTGTCCTGGGTAGTGTCCTGCTACCCAGCTACACTGTTAGGCCAGATGGGCCGGGAGCCCTCCGAGGACGACGCTTCACCTTCACCGTGAGCCCCTCCATCCTCTATGGGTCCTAGGTGATGGGACTGGAGGAGGAGAGGGACAGGCCTTGGAGTGTCCACTACGTACTGCCAGGGTTCATGACATCCTTTTAGAATGCCGTGGAGCCAGGGTTCCAAGCCGTCTCTACCCGCAGGCAGAGCACCCGGGCATGCGGACCTACGTTCTGGCAGCTGACACCTTAGAGGACCTGCGGGGCTGGCTGCGGGCTTTGGGCCGGGCCTCGCGCGCGGAGGGCGATGATTGGTGAGTAGAGGTCCAGGGCAGGCCACTGACCTCCACTCAGCATTATCAGCCGAAGCTCCTCCCCTTCGAATAGCCATTCATTTGAATGTCCAATCACTAATCTTCTAACTAAGGTCACTCCGCCAATGAGGCCCCACTTCCAGGGAGCTTCCGCTTCCCTCGGCCAAAGGGCTTTCTCAAGCCCCGCCCCCAGAAGTGAACCTCCAATCAGGGAATCTTGTAGACATTCGTAGTCCAGCCTCCATGAATTATCAATATGTCACCTTCCTCTGACTCTCCATCACCAGTCAGCTAACATACAAGGTCGGATTTTTTTTTTTTTAAGTGTCAGGGCGCCAGTGGCTCACGCCTGTAATCCTGGCTATTCAGGAGGCAGAGATCAGGAGGATCAGAGTTTGAGGCCAGCCCAGGCTAATAGTTTGAGAGACCCTATTTCAGAAAAAAACAAACAAAAATCACAAAAGTAGGGTTGGTGGAGTGGCTCAAGGTGAAGGCACTGAGTTCAAGCCCCAGTACTGGGAAAAAAAAAAAAAGTGTCAGACCATCTCCTTAGTCTTTCCTGGCCTGTCCGAATTCTCAGGCTGGAGACTTCAGTCCTGACTCAAGTTTTTCTCATAGTCCAGGGCACTGAGTTCTGTGGCCTGGATGAAACCAGTGTTGCAGTACAAGTCAAGGCCAAATTTGGGGCTTCAGTTTCCCCATCTGCGAACTGGGGACAATGATTTCTAGTCCACAACTCCTCTCTGGGGGTGGGTCGCTGTGTCTGCATCTGTAAAAAGAGAATAGAGCTGTTACGAAGTTCACAGAAGTGATCTTTCTTTCTGTGCCACCTTGGTGCAGTGGACGACCTAGGTCACCCGCACATCCCCAGCCTGGGGAAGGCCCTGGTGGCCCCGGGGGTCCCCCGGAGGTGATCAGAGGGGAAGAGGGGCGCGTCTCAGAATCACCGGAGGTGGTTCGGCTCTCCAGAAGTCGTAGCAGATCTGGGTTGCTTACTCCTAGCCCTACAGTAGACCTGCAGTCTGGCCCCGGGATTCGGAGGACCAGGAGCCCAGAGTGAGTGGGGCGGGGTCAGGAGGAGGCGGGGTCTAATGGAAGGCGGGGCCTGTCTGGCTGGGGCGTGGCTTAGCCCTTTCTGCTCAGTGTATGCGTGTTGCTGGGGCTCCTGTGGGACTGCATCTTGTCGGGGAGACATTCCAAGGAGGAAATACCACAAAGGGTACATCATTCAGGATCTGCCCATCAGGGGAGGATTCTACCCCAGAGGCCATTGAACATCAGGGAAGTGAAATGATCTTAAGACAGGCTTCAAGAGTAGTGAAGTGGATTGGGGGGCAGGGGCTCTAGTTGATTCAGTTTTCCGGTTCTGTCCTTCCCACAGTCTGTTCACCCCGCTCTCTCGCCCTCCCTCCCCTCTGAGCCTTCCCCGTCCCCGTTCTGCTCCTGCGCGGCGACCCCCTCCCTCAACAGGAGACGCAACACTCCCTGCTCGACCTCACACCCCCTTGAGTCGTATCGATGTCCGGCCTCCTCTGGATTGGGGCCCCCCGCGACAGACCCTCTCCCGGCCCCACACTCCCCGCAGAGGACCTTCCTCCGAAGGTGGCGGAGGACGACCGCCCAGGAGCCCCCAGCTTTGGAGTCAGGAGCCCAGGACACAGGTGAGGGAGGGGGACTATATTTCCCATCAGGCCTCAACAATCTTTCCAGGTTGGTCTCCAGGCAGTCAGCTCTTAGGCATCATGGGGATTGTAGTCTGTAATCACAGCGGGGCCCAGTTGTGAGATTGGAGCGTGAATTCGATCTCCCATCAGTGCTCACCAAGGTCTCCAGCAGCTGCTCCTTAAACTTCATAGGGATTGTAGTCCAGAATACCCGCCACCAACGCAGTGCCGTGAAAGGTAGAATGGTTTCATCTTCCACCTGCGTTTGAGCAGCATAGGTTTATACATAGCCAAATTCCTCAGAGCCTGAGGTGGTTTTTCCAGGCTAGTTCACTTACTAACTTCCTCAGTGAGTAGTTGAGGGAAAGTGGGGTGCAGTTCAGAACCTCAAAGTTTGTTAAGCACTTAAATTCTGGACATACACTGTATAAGAGTTACTAAGATGTCCCAATTTCTACATATTTCTATTTCAATATTCCTCCAGGCCACCTCTGGCTCTTCCACTTACCTCCAGCTTCCCCCAAGACCTCCTGGGACTCGGGCCTCCATGGTTTTATTGGTAGGTATCTTGGGCCTCAAGCTTAGTAGGTAAGCACTGTACCCCTTAAGCCACACAAGTTTCTTCCTTGTAAGGCAAGGGACAGGGAGAGAGAACAAGATGAAACGTAATTTATTAGTCTGGACATTGTTATTTCAGGTGACTCCTTCTGTGTAGGATTAAGCCAATTGAAACCAGCCTGTTAACTGGGTGCCAGTGGTGCACTCTCGTAGTCCTAGCTACTTGAGAGTCTGAAATCGGGAGGATCACAGTTCAAGGCCAGCCCTGGCAAATAGTTTACAAGAACCCATCTTCAAAATAGCCAGAGCAAAATGGACTTGAGGTGTGGCTAAAGAGCGACTGAGGCTTCTTCTGTGACCCTCACGAGCTCCTTGCTATCAGGGTGGACAAGCAGGGCCTGTGGAATACATAGTGTTTTGTTTGAATTGTTATGGGACCCAAGCCTGGAAGCTGGTTCCATGAAAAAACCAATGTCTGAGAGGCAAGAGATGGGGAAAGAGGCATTGTTCAGTGGCTAAAGAATGGCGAAAGAGGGAGGAATATTCACATCTTTTCTTATCTTTTCTTGTAACAGAAGGAGGTTTTCTGAGAATTCAGATGCCACCTCTTTTCTTTTCTTTTTTTTTTTTGGCAGTACTGAGATTTGAACTCAGAGCCTCACTCTTGCCAGTCAGGCACTCTACCACTTGAGCCACTCCGCCAGCCCTTTTCCCTTTTGTGGTTCTTTCCAGTCATGGTCACTGTTTTTGTCAACTGTCAGGGCACTGGAGGGTGTGTGATTTAGCATGCAGATGGGATTATAATGAAATCAGGGGTTGTCTTACCATCACTTGGAAGCTGTCTTGGAAATACCCAGGTTTGGCCAGCCCACCTGAATAGGGACATCTGGCTTACAGGCATCCTGTCGTAAAGATAAACCCAATTAGAGTGGGTAGAAATTCACCTAGGTTACCTAGGCTGTGCTCAAGATAACATTTCCACAGAAGTGGTCTTTAAGTACCTGAAGAGTAACCTAGGCAACTGTTACCCATAACCACACATCAGAGCTGGTGCTAGTGGCTTGTGCCTATAATCCTAGCTACTCAAGAGGCAGAGATCAGGAGGATCTTGGTTCCAAGCCAGCTCAGGCAAACATTTTGTGAGACCAATCAATCTTGAAAAGAAACTCATCACAAAAAAAGGGCTGGTGGAGTGGCTCAAGGTGTAGGCCCTGAGTTCAAATACCAGAGAGATAGGTGAAGAGATGGCTCAAATGCCAGCACAGGTTTTACTAGGGAGAAGTGGAGCTCCAACTACTTACAGACTGGGGGTAGACAGGAAGTTGGTGGAGATGCTCCAGGAAGTTCACTGGGGGTAATCCTCAATGGCCCTCTGATCCTCCCAAGATAAAGGCTTAAGGGCCAGTCACTCTTCTAGTGGGGAGTTCCTAGTAAATGGCTAAAAGTGGATGCCTATTTTTCTTTAGGGCTGGGTGGAGAGTTTCCAGTAAGTCCCCTTCAAGAGGAGGGGTCCAGTTTTAATATGGCCGACTTTTGTTACCCTAAGTCTTTTTCTAACCATAGGGACTATGAAAGTAAGAGCACGGGTTTACTCTTTCCCATATAAAAACCAGTTTTCATAGCCGGGCACTGTGGCTCACACCTGTAATCCTAGCTACTCAAGAGGCACAGATCAGGAGACTGAGGTAACCCCAATACAAAACAGGGCTGGTGAAGTGGCCCAAGTGATAGAATGCCTGTCTAGCAAAGCCTAGTAAGCATGCAGCCCCAAGTTCAAGCCCCAGTATTGCAAAAATAAATGAGTAAATAAATAAATAATGTAGCTCATGCCTGTAGTCCCAGCTAGTTGGGAGGTGGAGGCTGGAAGGATTGTGATTTGAAGCCAGCATGGGCAAATAGTTCACGAAACCCCATCTCTAAAATAACTGGAGTAAAATGAACTAGAGGCATGGCTGAAGCAGGAGAGCACCTGCTTTGCAAGTGCAAAGACATGACTCCAATCTCACCAAAAAGAGTAAAAAAGAACCATGGATTAAGTGATCTGCTCTTTTTCAACTTTATTTTGTGTCTATGGATTGTCTCATCCGTTAATTCTGTACCTTTAGTCTGTTTACATTTTTTCCCCTGATACCGGAATTTGAACTCAGAACCTATACTTTGAGCCACTCCACCAGCTCTTTTGTGTGATGGGCTTTTTTCAGTTAGGGTCTCAAGAACTGTTTGACTGGGCTGGCTTCGAACTGCGATCTCCTGATCTGTGCCTCCTGAGTAGCTAGGATTACAGGTGTGGGCCACCGGCACCTGGCTTCTATTTACTTTTAGTTGTGATAGGTTTTGAACTCAGAACCCTACTGCTTGCTAGGCAAGTGCTCTGGCACTTGAGCCACCCCCCAGCCCTTGAGTTTTAGATTTAAGTAGAGAATTAGGGCAGGGGAGTAAACTATATGACCATTATCTCTGTTCTTGTTTTGGGAGGCTTCTGAAGAAGTTATCACTTACCTTGGGGAGGTTCTGATGTTCCCTTCCTTGGGGGCACTTTTCTCCCTCCTCCTCATAAACATCTTACCCATAAATCTGTCCTTCCTGGTTTCCAAGGTGATTGTAAGGTGAAGAATGGCTTAGAACAAAGACATACAAAAATGGAGGCAGGGATGTCAAGTAACTATCCTGGGCGCAAGTAAGGAAGCAGTGCTTTTCAGCAAAAGCAGTTAAGCACCTGTTACAGTATGGTTTTGTAGTATGGACACATTTATTACTAGGTTTCTAAAAACGCACACGGGTACTTTAATTGGGATTGCAGTAAATTTAGAAGTCAGTTAGGAAGGACTGTTAGCATAGGCAAATAGATAAGACATGGGCTGTAAGAGTCCATTCTAAGTCTGCATGGTGGCTTACACCTGTAATCCCAGCTACTTAGGAGGCAGAGATCAGGATTGTGGTTTGAAGCCAGCCCTGGAAAAATAGTTTGTGACATCCTATCTCAAAAATACCCAAGAAAAAACAGGGCTGGTGGAGTGGCTCAAATGGTAAAGCACCTACCTAGCAAGCATGAGGCCCTGAGTTCAAACCCCAGTGCTGCCAAAAACAAAACAAAACAAACAGAAAAACACCCTATGGCCCACTTTGGACTATGTGGATTGGGGTAATGCCCACACCATCCTTATGGGGTCCACACCCTATATCAAGGTTAACTCAAGAGGGGTGAAGAGGATCAAACATGTATACCTTCCCCTACTCTCTGAGCTGAGGGCCACAGGAGAGAGCCCTTGGTTTCACACCACCTAGTAACCCACCCTAGTGGATCAAGCCCCCCAACTTCCAGCCAATCCACCTTTACCTGAACTGGCTGCTTCACCCCTTGAGGTATAATTCCACTGTCCTGATAAATCACTCTGGTTCTCTTTTGGTACCGGGGTGCTAGGCAGGTTCTCTACCACTTGAGCCATGCCTGCAGCCTATAAATCACTCTTTACTGTCTTCCAACTGGTTGTGGTTCTTTTGCCGCACATCAAGTGATGTCCTAATTTTAGGCATTGTACCCCAAACCAAGGAACATCTGGAACACCCCAAATTCTTTTTGTTTTCTGCAGTATTAGGGTTGGAACTCAGGGCCTACACCTGGAGCCACTCCACCAGCCCTTTTCTGTGATGGGCTTTTTCAAGATAGGGTCTCACAAACTATTTGCTTGGTTTGGCTTTGAACCTTGATCCTCCTGATCTCTGCCTGCCACCATGCCCGCCCCAAGGTCTTTGTAATGTTGAAGGTGTGGGGTGGCTCCTCATTCAGTCAGATAATCATCTAGTTAGTTTAAGTAAAATTTGAATTTGTTTTCATAGAGATCGTGTAGTGTTAGTTATGGTAATAGAATTGGAGTTTTACACCCCAGGTCCAAACTCCTGGACTTCCACAAGTCAGGTTGGGCCACTCGCTCCTATAAGCCGAATAGAGAGACATGGTGAAAGGCAGAGAAAGAAGGCTAATTAAATGGGCCGGGAAGCCACAGGAAGATAGCATTTTAGTTCATCTTCAGCCATTTTGGGGTACAGACATGAACGGGGTGTGGGGCAGACTGTTGCGTAATTATTAAACAATCCTGGTCACAGGTGTAGCCCAGTGGATCATTATATCAGTCCTTGGTTTTGGGGGGATTCTGGAGAAATTTTCTTTTCTTTTTTTTTTTTTTTTTTTGGCAGTACTAGGCAGGCTGTCATCACTTGAGCCACTCCACCAGTCCTTTTTTTGTGTGATGGTTTTTTTAAGAGATAGGGTCTCTTGAACTATTTGCCTGGAGTTGGTTTCAAACCAGGATCCACCAGCTTCTGAGAAGAGAAATTGTTTCTGATAGCCATTCTCATGAGGCCCTCTTGTTCCTTAGCTTGGGTCCCTTGTCATAAAGATGCTATCAATCAGTCCTGCCTTTCCTGGAATCAAAGGTGATTGCAAAGTGACTCGAGAAATGGCTTAGTGCAGAGACAAATACAAAATGGAGGCAGAGATGTCAAGCTTTGCTCCTGCTTTTAGTTAAAGCATGGGCCCAAGTAAGGAGGTGACAGTTTTCTGCAAAAGCCCTGGCTGATGTTAAACTGAGATCCTCCTGCCTCAGCTTTCTGAGTGCTGGAGATTAGATAACAGAGCCCACTGGACTTTCCAAAGCCAAGAATCTGCTCTGCTGAGGTTCGCCAGCGGAAGGGTCTGATGGTGAAAAGGGCTTGGCTCAGCACATTTAGGACTTGCCTGTCCCCTTTGACCCTGGCCTTTTCTCCTTTGCAGCCAGGTCCTCCCCTGGACTCAACCTTTCATCAAAGCTTGGAGACAGATGTAAGTTCTCCAGATTCAATCCCTGCTGAGTTCCCAAAGCTGGAGAGAGAATGTTCTAGATAGTAGGGGAAGGGGTCCATATGGAGTCCATAAACAGCTCCTTCTCTCTTTTCTCCAGACTCTTCTGACCAAGTTGTGTGGGCAGGACCGGCTCCTGAGGAGGCTGCAGGAAGACATGGATCAGCGGCAGGAGGAGAAGGTGCTGGAAGGGAAGGGTGCCTGGCCTCTCCACTTCCCCTCAGGGACACCTTTCTCTCCCTGGGTCTGGGTGTGGCTTCAGAAGTCAAACCACCATTGTTCTGGGTTCAGGAGCAGCTAGAGGCGGCCCTGGAGCTGACCCGGCAGCAGCTGGGCCAGGCCACCAGGGAAGTGGTGGCGCCTGGGAGGGCCTGGGGTCGCCAGCGCCTCCTGCAGGACCGGCTGGTCAGTGTGAGGGCCACTCTTTGTCACCTGGCTCAGGTGAGTATCTGGAAAGGGACAGGAGGTGCCAGATTGGTACAGATGGTTATGAAGCTGAGGGTTCATAGGAAGGTAGTTCTGGAGAATTCCATTCACCCCCAATTTTAGACCAATAATCTTAATTTTATTTTCTGGCAGGACTGGGGTTTGAATTCAGGGCTTCCTGCTTGCAAAGCAGCCCCTCTACCTCTTGAGCCACACCTCCACCCCTTTTTGCTATGGTTATTTTGGAGGTAGGGGGGTCTTACAAGCTGTTTACTCTGACTGGCCTCAAACCTCCAGCCTCCTGATTTCAGCCTCCAAAGTAGCTAGGATAACAGGCCCAACTGGGAAGGATCTTATTTGTCCACCCTAGCAGCTCATTGGAATCGCAGATTCCATATACACTGAGCTTGCAGTAGTCTAAGCAAAGTGGCCCATGAGAATCGTAGTCCATATAGCCCCAGGTACAGACCTCCCCTCCTCTTCAGCTGGGAAAAAATGGGGAAAGATGGGGTGGTTGCAGTGCTAACTTGCATTTTTCCCTTTCTGGGACTTGAGGAGCGAGAGCGGGTCTGGGACACATACAGAGGTTTGGAGCAGGAGCTGGGCACCTTACGAGAGACCCTTGAGTACCTGTTACATCTCGGGTCCCCACAGGTAATCCTCACCCTTAGGCGCCAAGCCCCTCCCTCCACTCCAAGTTCCACCTGGAAACCATTGACATTAAGCCCCTCCCCTAGAGTTGACACCCCTCCCACTTTATCCCAATCCCCTCCCCCACCATCATTCTAAACCTCTTATTGTAGTTAAGGCCTACTTTCTGCTTGAGAGCCACTTTCCCTTCAGGGTCTGAATCTGTCTTGTGTATCCTTGCCCCTGTTGTCAAAATGTACTTTCCAGTCCTGTCTCCATCAGGCAAGTTCATGTCTGCCGTCCTGTTTCCCAACTGTTGCTGTGACATTTTTCCTTAGCTCAAGCCCCACTCCTAAAATATAGACCCCTCTGTTTAGCCCCAGACTCACTTCTTCATTCTAAGCACAGCTAGCAAGTTCGAAATCACAGCTCTTTACTTAAAAACATGGATTTTTCACAGGCTGTGGTCCCTCATGTCTGCAATCCCAGCACTTGGGAGACTGAGGCAGGATTGTGAGTTGCAGGCCAGCGTGCGCTACATAGCAAGACCCTGCCTGGAAAGGGAGCGGGGTGGGGTGGGGGGAGAAAGACGGAGGGGAGACAGAGAGGAAAGAGGAGAGACAGAGGAAGGAAGGAAGGAAGGAAGGACAGGAGGGGGAAGAGAAGGGGAGAAGGAAGGAGGGAGGAGGGAAGGGAGGATGGAGGGAAGGAAGGAGAGAAGAGAAGGAAAGGAAGGAAGGAAAGGCAAAGAAGGAAGGAAGGAGGGAAGGGAAGGAAAGGAGGGAGAGAGGCAAAGAAGGAAAGGAAGGAAGGAAAAGTGATTGAGTTTTCTCAATTCACTTGGACATCTATATGGGATTTTTTTTTTGGCTTCACTGGGTTTTGAACTCAGGGTCTCAGCTTGCTAGGCATTCTACCACTTGAGCTACTCTGCCAGCCCTGGACATCCATATGGGGGAAAAAATCCTAAACCCATAAACAGCTCAGACCCTTGCTGGGTGGGACTGTAAGCTGGAACCCTCGTTGGATTTTTTTATCTTTCACAAATTCCTGTCCTTCCCCCAGGACAGAGCATCTGCCCGGCAGCAGCTGTGGATGGTAGAAGACACGCTGGCAGGTCTGAGTGGCCCCCAGAAACAGCCTCTGCCCACTGAACCTGAGTCCCCGTCCCCTGTGCTCCAAGGCGAGGAGTCCTCAGAGAGGGAGGTGAGACCCACACTGCTGCTGTCTCCTCAGTTTCCTGTCCCAACCCATGCCCCATTTCCCTCTCTCTTGCTTAACCAACTTCAGGCAAGTACCTTCTCCTCTGGAAGCCTCTTCTTCCTCATTTATTATACAAATATCCCTCAGTGTCTTATGGGGATGGTTCTAGAACCTTCTCTGCTGTGGATACCAAAACCTGTGCAGATGGGTTGGGTTGACTGCCCTGCCATTCTAGGCCAGTGGTGTCCTCTGTAAGAGCGTGTAACTACACCCATTGTGTGTGTCTCTTCCCACCTCTACATTCAGTCATTTCACACTGGTGGCCTGAAATCAAGCAGAAGGAGAATTGGCAAACACAACCTGTTAGGGCCCTTTCCCCCGAGAGCCATTTGTTCCACATTTACCAGACACCAGGGACCATAGTCCCCAAGGAGGAGAGATAGTGACCTTCAGGAAGCCGTTGAGTGCTCTGACCTTCCCATCCTGTATCCCAAAGATCGGGGTTGGAACCCAGCTCTGGTACTTTGTGCCATTGGTCATCGACCTCATTCTGAGCCTGTTTCACCGTATGTGAAGTAAGAATAATAATAAGAGCCACCTCATAGGTTTGTGTGCGATTCTATTATATATGGTGGAGGTCAACTTCCAGATATGGAATTGTGGGAAAACTTCACATGATGTCTTGCCACCTGTCATGTCAGTATTCTAAGTCCCTTATGTGTGTGGACTTAATCCTTGTATCAAAAGATAGGATATGAGCCGGGTGCTGGCGGCTCATATCTGTAATCCTAGCTACTTGGGAGGCTGAGATCAGGAGGATCGAGGTTCTAAGTCAAATATTTGCAAGACCCTATCTCCAAATAACCAGAGCAAAATGGACTGAAGGTGTGGCTCAAGCAGTAGAGCACCGCTTTACAAGCACAAAGCTCTGAGTTCAAAACCCCAGTGCCACCAAAAAAACGAATGAAAAAAAGATGGAATATGGTCCAGAGAGGAAAAGTAACTTTGGACTTACAATTTTAACTCCCTCATGCTGTGCCTCGATTGCTCAATGCTTGAAAATGGTCATAATATTTACTGTTCCTCTTTTTTATCCCTGCAGAGCCTGCCTGAGTCCTTGGAACTAAGTTCTCCTCGGTCCCCGGAGACTGACTGGGGGCGGCCCCCTGGAGGTGACAGAGATCTTGCCAGCCCTCACTCAGGTGAGCATCTTGGTGGGACCGGACTTTCCTCGAGTTCCCATCCTCACCAAGTCCCCTTCTGTCCTTCAAGGTCTTGGGTCTCCCAGGGTTTCCAGGGCTTCCAGCCCTGAGGGTCGCCGCCCATCCTCCCCGCAGCTGGGAACCAAGGTAGGCCATCCTTGGGGACACCCTTGTGTCTGTCATGTAACCCTATGATCTGACCACCATAGAGCTCCCTTATCCTGGGGAAATAGACAAGTTCTAAAGCCACATCAGAAGGAAAGACACACTATTTATTATTAAGAGCATGGGGACTGAATTTTGTCTCCGTTCCTCGTCTTCCTAGGCCCCTGTGGGTCGACCCCGCATGAGTGCCCGGGAGCAGCTGGAGCGCATGCGCAGGAACCAGGAACGTGGACGGCCTCTCCCACGCCCAGCCTCCCCCAGCCTCCTCATCCTGGGGAGGACGCTGTCCCCAACCAGACGTCAGCCCGACATGGAGCAAAGAGTGAGGGTAGGACGGTGGGGTGGTACAGGGTCTTTTACTCCTACTTTGAGACTCAGTTTACCCCTCTGTGAAATGGGCCTGCGTCCATATCTCACCCCATCTAGCTTTCCAGATTCACCCCACCTAGTGCTTGGCAGCCTCCCGACTGCCCGAGCAGTGGGTGGGCAGAAGTGGGTGAGGAGAAGGCAGATGTCTTCCTTCAGGGTGGGGGTCTAAGGTCTAGCCCAGATTTTCCTGTCACTTGCTATGTTAGCAAAGGACAAAAGAAAGAGCACTCCGGACCTGAAGATCTGACAATCTTAGATACGTCAGGATAGCTTCACCTTAGACTTTGGGTTAGGTCAGCTTTCCCTTGCTGTGGCAAAATACCTGACAACAGCTGAGAGGAGGGAAGATTTATTTTGACTCATGGATTCGTGGTCGGCTGGCTCCTTTGTTTCTATGTCAGGCAGATCATCCTGGTAGAAGGGCAGGGAAAAGATGTTTGCTTCATGGAGACCAGGAAGTAGATCCAGGGGATAGGGACAAGACAAGCCCTTCAAGGGCAGGTCCCAGTGACCTTCCTCCAACTGGGGGAAGGTCCATTCAGCTATGAACTCATCAGTGGATTAACCCATTGATAAGCTTGATCACATCAATTCCCAGTGGTACCAAAGGCTGGGGACCAAGCCTACAACCTCTGAGCCTTTGGGGACATTTTATATCCAAACCATGACAACTTTTATAGGGAGGAGTTAGAAAAGTCCGTGTGTGTTCTTTTTTTTTTTTTTTTTTTTTTATTTTAAAAGATACCGTGCATGTGGGATACTTCTTTATTTTATTACATATATATACATATATTTGTATATATTTGGCAGTACTGAGGTTTGAACTCAGGGCCTCATGCTTGCTAGACCAGCACTCTACCACTTGAGCCACACCTCCAGCCCCCCGTGTGTGTTCTTAACCCTGCTATTTTCCTGGAGCAAAATGAAGTTAAAAACTTTCAGTGAAGCCAGGCGCCAATGGCTCACACCTGTAATCCTAGCTACTCAGGAGGCGGAGATCAAGAAGATCAGGGTTTGAAGCCAACCTAGGCAAATAGTGCAAGAGACCCTATCTTGAAAAACCCTTCACATACACACACAGAGCTGGTGGAGTGGCTCAAGGTGAAGGCCAGCCCAGTACGGCAAAAAAAAAAAAAAAAAAAAAAAAACTTTCAGTAAAGTTAGACACTGTCAGTGTCTTTGGGCAATTTCAGTTCCTCTCTGAGCCCCTCCCCTTTACCCTCATTGTCCAGAGCAGGAATTCTAATGTCCCAATTCCTTTTCAGCCTGCCTTAGGATCTGCAAAATGGCTCAGAAGCTCGGGGTCCTGGAGCAGGTAAGGAACTGGAGGGTGGGGGAAGAGAGCAAGGGGATCAGTATGCGAAAGGGGAGGCAGATGGCGTTATTATTGGAGTCTCCTGAGTACTGAACTACTCTAAGACTTGCAAAACATTTGGAGCTGCTTGAGTTCCTGAAAAACAAAAACAAAAACCCAGGAAAACCTTGATACTCAGAGGAAAACTGCAGTTCCCAGATCTCCCGTGGCCTGGATATCAAATTGTGCGCTTCATCCAGTACTCCAGTGGTATGGATGCGGTACCGAACTACATATCCCATAATGCAGTGGGACCGCTAACGTCACTTAGAGACACGTGCTAGGAACTACAACTCCCAGAAGTACACGCGGCCACATGGTCCTTACTACACAAGGCCCCCGGTCCCCCGCCGCATCTTCTCTTTTTTCCCCAGTGTGAGGAACACCACTTCTTACTTGCCGACATCCGAAGGCCACCGGGAGCGGGTTCTCAGTCTCTCCCAAGCGCTGGCCACTGAAGCGTCGCAGTGGCACAGAACGATGACAGGTGGGTTTTAGAGAACAGGAAGCTGGATGCTGAAGTCCTAGGTCCTGGTGAGACTTCTGGGGGCGCTGTCAAAGCTTTCTTTTGGAGAGAAACGAGCAGGGGCAGGGATTTGGAGTGCTAAGGCCCAGACCAGACCCTGGTTGGGGACACTAAAGAGGAGGAAGAGGGTGGGGGCGTGGCCACCATTGAGATTCCGAGAGGAATGGAATGGGAAGCCTGTATTCCTGCGTCTGAGGGTGAAGAGCTGGGGGCCTGGAGTCCTTTGTCCCTAAGTTTGCTATTCTCATTCCTCACTCAGCATCTCCAGATGGAAATTCGGAGTCCGGGGGAGACCCTCACCCCGCTACGCCGTCGCCTCCGTCAGACCCCACGCCCCAGGTGGCCTCGCCCCCACGATCTCCAGTCGCTAACTCGGCATCCCTGGGATTCTCACGCCAGGGTAGTGGGAGAGGCAGAGGCCCTGCCCCCTGGGAGCCCACGTGGGACGCTGGGAGTGCCCCTCCCGCCCTGACTCAGGACGAGGGGTCGTGGCCCCTGAGGGTCACGCTGTTACAATCCAGCTTTTGACTTGAGCAAACACGGCAGCCAATAGGGTTGTGGGGGCGTGGCCTGAAGACCTCTGAAAAATGGGCCGAGCACTGGGGGCGTGTTCTGGTCAGAACCTGTGGTCTAAGAGGGGCGTGGTAACTATGGTCAAAGTTTGGTTTTTCCAACACTGTCTAAACTTGGATTAAAACTTTGAACTTTTATTTAGTATTTCTGTCTGTTTGGGCTTGTGACACTGGAGTCTGAGGAGCAAAGCTGGAATCTTGGATGGCTGGGTCCAGAGGGAAAAAGACAAAAGGGGCCTTGAACTTGTAGGTCTGAGGAAGGAGGGAGACAGGATCACAAAATATTGGGTATGAAGGAGGAGAGGATAAATAATTTCAGTCCTGGATCTGACCTAGGAGGGCTGAGGCCTGGAACCCTGGGTCTGAGGGAGGAGGCTGAGGCCTGGAACCCTGGGTCTGAGGGAGGAGGTCTGGGCCTGGATCTCTGGGTCTGAGGGAGGAGGGCTGGGCCTGGATCTCTGGGTCTGAGGGAGGAGGCTGGAGTCTGGACCCCTGGGTCTGAGGGAGGAGGCTGGGCCTGGATCTCTGGGTCTGAGGGAGGAGGCTGGGGTCTGGAACCCTGGGTCTGAGGGAGGAGGCTGGGCCTGGACCCCTGGGTCTGAGGGAGGAGGCTGGGGTCTGGAACCCTGGGTCTGAGGGAGGAGGCTGGGCCTGGATCTCTGGGTCTGAGGGAGGAGGCTGGAGTCTGGACCCCTGGGTCTGAGGGAGGAGGCTGGGCCTGGACCCCTGGGTCTGAGGGAGGAGGCTGGGGTCTGGAACCCTGGGTCTGAGGGAGGAGGCTGGGCCTGGATCTCTGGGTCTGAGGGAGGAGGGCTGGGCCTGGATCTCTGGGTCTGAGGGAGGAGGGCTGGGGCCTGGACCCCTGGGTCTGAGGGAGGAGGACTGGGGTCTGGACCCCTGGGTCTGAGGGAGGAGGGCTGGGATCTGGACCCCTGGGTCTGAGGGAGGAGGCTTGAAGTCTGAACTCCTGGGTCTGAGGGAGTAGGGCTGGGGCCCCATTTCCAGGTTTCTGGCCTTACTGGATACACCCCCAGGGCTGGGCTTCCAGGATCCAGCCCCGATTTATTGTTTCATCCCACAGCTTCACTGGCTGCACTTGTTTTACTGGCTTCACTGGACTTTGGAGGTGGATAGAGGCCCAGAGCTGTTGTTGGAGAGACAGATCCACTTGGAATGGCTGCCAGAACGTGTTATTTGGGGAAGGTGGTGGTTGTGACTGGGGGTGCGCGCGGCATTGGAGCTGGGATCGTCAGAGCCTTTTGTAAGTGTGTGTGTGTGTGTGTGTGTGTGTGTGTGTGTGTGTGTGTGTGGGGGAGGTCTGGGTGCTCCAAAATTTGGGAGTCTACAAGATTATACCCGTAATCTTAGCTACTTGGGAAGCTGAGATCAGGAGAATGGGGGTTGGAGGCCAGCTGGGGCATCCATCTCCAAAATAACCAGAGCAAAATGGACTGGAGGTGTGGCTGAAGCACACAAGCCCTGGATTCAAATCCTAGTCCCTCCAAAAATCAAAAAAAGAAAGACAGCTGGGAGAGGCTGAGGAGTGGAAAGAAGGAACTGCTGTTCAGATTCTGATCTTTTAATAATCTTTGTGTGTGTGTGGTACTGGGGTTTGAACTCAGGGCCTGGCACTTGCTAGACAGGTGCTCTGCTCTACTGCTTTAACCACTCCACCAGCCCAGATTCTAATCTTGTAAAGTCAATTTGCAATGCTAATGAAGGGATAGCCAACGACCTGTTTAAGGGTCTGCTAAGGCAGTTCCTCCTGTCTTCTAGGTGTTAACTGTAGCTGCAAAGGAGTGGTTTGGGGAATGTATTTCTCCCGGAGGTTGGTTGGGGGGCTGGCAGGGGAGTGTGTGTTAGGGCTCCTGCCCTTTGTCCCAGGCGATGGTCATGAGACTCAGATTACTGGTGGAGGGTGAGATTGGCCATACACCCACTGACCACAAGAGGACAGCAGAGGCCTTGACCTAGATCTGTGTATGGCTCACTTGTTCTCTTCCTACTCACAGTGGAGAGCGGGGCCCACGTGGTATTCTGTGACAAGGATGGTGAGTGGGATCCCTGAGTTCCCACTTCAGATAAGCCTCCCTCAGACCCAGGGGTCCAGGCCCTCCTCCTTCAGACCCTGAAGTCTAGGCCCCAGCCCTCCTCCCTCAGACCCAAGGGTCCAGACCCCAGCCCCCCTCCCTCAGACCCAGGCGTCCAGGCCCCAGCCCTCCTCCCTCAGACCTGGGATCCAGGTCCAGTCCTTCTGTCCCTACAGAGGCAGGGGGCCAGGCCCTGGTTCAGGAGCTCCCAGGAGCTGTCTTCATCCCCTGTGACGTGACTCAGGAAGAAGACGTGGAGGTGAGAGCTGGCTGTCCCCTCACTCCGTCTCCGGTAGCCATCCCTCTCTTCTAGCTCTCCTCTGTGAGTTTGCACACGTTGTTCCCTCTACCTTCCTTCCTCTCCTGGCTAAATTGTACCCATCCCAAAGGTGCCAGCCCCGTGCACCCTACCCCAGGCTCCCCACACCAGAGTCCCCTGACCCTGCTGGCCAGCTCCAATGGGCTCTGGATGGCTTTCCTTGTCTCTGTCTTCTAGAGTCCTGTCACACACCTGTCTGGTGCTTGGGAAAGAACAAACCCCTCGATGTGATACTCCTCCCCCTGTGTGTGGGTTTCCATCCTTTTCTGTGAGTCAGGGTCTTTCCATTATTTGCCCCCAAGGTTTCTGACCCCCTCTCTCTGCGTCTCTGTGTCCTCTCTCTCTATATCTCTCTCCCTCTCTGTCTCTCTGGGCCTCTGTTCCCCTCTCTGTAAGTTTATGTCCCGCTCTGGGTCTCTGTCCCTCTCTCTGTGTGTCACTTTCTTCCTCTCTAGGTTTCTGTCAGGTTTCTGCTCTCTCTCTCTTTCTCTCTCGCTCGCACTGAGGTTTGAACTCAAGCCTTCACCTTGAGCCAGTCCCATTTTGTGAAGGGTTTTCTCGAGATAGGGTCTTGAGAACTATTTGCTTGGGCTGGCTTCGAGCCAAGATCCTCCTGATCTGCCTCCTGAGTAGCTAGGATTACAGGTGTGAGCCACTGGCACCTGTCCCCTACCTGGTCCCTTGAACCCTTTGCTTCAGATCTCCTGCCGTGCCTGGTGATGCTGGGGCGGCCTTCCTTGCTATAGTTCCTGTCCCCTTAACTGTGTCCCCAGCCTCCTCCTCTCTGCCTTGCTCTTGCATTCCTGAGTCCTCCAAGGCGGGAACCTTCGGGAACATCACAGGGTATGTCCTTTCTCCTCAGACCTTGATTTCTGAGACTGTCCGTCGATTTGGCCACTTGGATTGCGTGGTCAACAATGCCGGTTACCGTGAGTTGTGAGGCCTGGAGGCCACTAACCACTTACAGCACCCCACTTCCTATTCCCCGTACTCCTCCCTTTCCCCTTTCTGCCTCAGTTTCCCCATTCCCTACCTCTGCTGTCCCATCCCCTTTCTACCCACCAGAACAGAGCAGCATAGCTGTGAAGACCCTGGGCCTGGGCTAAATCCCCTGTCTTCTTCCTTTCCATATGTGCTGGGCCTGTGCCCTCAACACTGTGTGCCTCAGTTTCCACACCTCTAAAATGGGAATCATGCTACTTTCCTTCTGGCATGTTGTGATCATTGAAGGCAGAAAATGCCCAGCCTGAAGTCCCTCATGATCTTAGGTGCACAGGCCTGGCTGCATAGCCTGGATTTGCTCATTTATGGAGTGAGTTTGCCAATGACCTTGAAGACGTACTCTCAGTGCTTGGTTTATTGGATGTGGTGCAGTGTGGGAAATTGGAAAACTGCCATCAGCTTAATAAGTGTTCAGCACAATGAAGTAAACTGAGGCACAGAGGGACTTTCAATTGCTCTGGGGTCTCCCAGCAAAGTGGTGGCACAGAAGGGGCCTTACTTGTCAGCTGGGCTTACCCTCTCTTGGCTGTATTTACCTGGTTTTCTGGTTGTGAGTGTTTCAAAAGTGACCAGAATTTCTCCCTTTGTGTGGCTAAACACATGGTTTTTTAATTTTGTTTTGTTTTTGCTATCCTGAGGCTTGAACTCAGGGCCTACACCTTAAGCCACTTCAACAGCCATTTTTTGTGATGAATTTTTTCCAGATAGGGCTTCGCAAACTATTTGCCCAGACTGGCTTCAAATTGTGATCCTCCTGATCTCTGCCTTCTGAGTAGCTACGATTACAGGCGTGAGCCACCAGCACCCAGCTCCAACACATGTTCATTGGGCACCTGTTGTGGCCACTTTCTGTGGTAAGGAATGGGGATTTAGCAGTGAACAAACAGACACATTCCTCTGGAATTCCCATTCCAGACTCAGGAAATAGTCAAGAAAGACAGATGTAAGTCAGGAATGGTGATACACACCTGTAATCCCAGCTACTCAGGAGGCAGAGGCAGGAGGATCAGGAGTTTGTGGCCAGCCCAGGCGAAATTAGGAAGACCCTGTCTCAATACCAAGTACAAAACAGGAAGGCTGGATGTGGGGCTCGATGGTAGAGTGTTTGTGCAGCTTTTGTGTGGCCCTGGTTCCATCCCTAGTCCTGCTGAAAAAGAGAGACAGAGTCCAGCTTCATCATTTGCAGATTGCAATTTGTAAATTCACCCACTTGCCCAAACTTACTCGGAACTGCCAGATCAGGACTCCTGGTTATTCTCTGGCCTGTGCAGAGTGGCCACAGTTTAAGTGTGGTTAGGGGGTGGGGATGTAGCATTAGTTCCCTGCAAAGGTGACTGAAGGTGGGTATTTTAGCCCTGTAGCCTGGGGTGTGGGGCAGGACGGACCATCTCAGTGACTCTGTGGACTGTGGGGTTGGTTCCAATCGCAACAATGCTGGGGTTTGAACTCAGGGCCTTCTGCTTGCTTGGCAGGCACTCTACCACTTGAGCCACTCCTCCAGTGACACTCCTGATTCTTGTTTTCTAATTTGTAAAATAAACAGTCTATAGTACTAGTTGTTGTTAGGATTCAAGATTATAATTTTTGTACTATCTGTATATAGATATTCTGTACAATATCATACAGATACACATCGGTGCATTTATTTATTTATTTTGGCGGTACTGGGGTTCAAACTCAAGGCCTCCTGTACACTAGGCAGGTGCTCTGTCACTTGCATCACACTCCTAACCTTTTTTGCTTTACTTATTTTTTCAGATGGGGTCTTGCACTTTTGCCCCAAGCTGGCCATGCACTGTACTCTCCCACCTTTGCCTGTCATGTAGCTGCATCACCATGCGTGGCCAAGTGTACCTTTTATTGCTTGTTACATTGTCTGCCCATGGTTCCACCAGGACAGAGGGAGTCAGCACACTAAATTTAGAGCTCATGTTTATTTTTTGATTGTTTGTTTGTTTGTTTTTGGCAGTGCTGGGGTTTGAACTCAGGGCTTCACACTTGCTAGGCAGGCACTCTACCACTTGAGCCACTCCACCAGCCCTCATGTTGATTTTATAGAGCATAACTGCCCAGGATAACTGGAATCCATGATATGATAGTGTGGCTCATGCCTGTAATCCTAGCTACTTGGGAGGCTGAGATCAGGAGGACTGCAGTTTGAGGCCAGCCCAAGAAAATAGTTCAGGAGACCCCCATCTCCAAAAATAACCACAGCAAAATGGACTGGAGATGTGGCTCAAATGTTAGAACACCTGCCTTTTAATTGCAAAGTCCTGAGTTCAAATCCCAGTACCACCAAAAACAAAGACCATGAAGAAAAGTGAAGATGATTTAAGGCATAGAGCATGACAGGGTTTTTTGGGACACCAGGGACTTTTGTCCAGCTCCCTGGAAGAAGGGAGGCAGCTGTCCGTGGTATCTGGGGAGGAAGAATTCAATATTTCAGGGCTAAGAGTGTCACTCAGTGATAGAGCACTTGCCTAGCATGCTGGAGGCCCTGGCTTCCATCCCCAGCTCTGCAAAAAAAAAAAAAAAAAAAAAAATCCAATAGTCACTTGATTTTCTGTCCCTCGTTTTGTTTTTCTTCTCATTGTCCCTTTGTGCACATGTCTTCTGGTGTCTTAGGGTGTTTAGAGTTCTTTCTTCCCCCCTCTTATCGTTCTATTTGTTCTGTCTTCTGAGCGTTGACCTTTCTGTTTCTCTTTCAGTGCCTACCTACTTCTGTTTTTTTTTGTTTTGTTTTTGTGATGGATTTTTTCGAGATAGGGTCTCATGAACTGTTTGCCCAGGTTGGTTTCAAACCGCAATCCTCCTGATCTCTGCCTCCTGGGAAGCTACAATTATAGGTGTGAACCACAGGCGCCTGGCTTTCCCTACTTCTATATATTTAGCAAACACATTTATGGTACTAAGTGTTCAATACAAATATTGACTCATAAAATTTATAAGCCCACGCTTATAAATGTGAACCATGGTGGTTCACACCTATAATCCCAGCACTTGGGAAACTGAGGAAAGAGGATTGTGAGTTTGAGGCTAGCATGGGCTATATAATGAGACCTGTCTGAGAAAAAAAAGAAGCCAAGTGTGGTGGCTCATGCTTGGAATCCCAGCTACTTGGGAGGCAGAGATTGGGAGGAATGTGGTTTGAAGCCAGCCTGGCCCAAAAAGTCTGCAAGACCCCATCTCAACCAATAAAAAGCTATGCTGCTTGGTGCATGCCTGTCATCCCAGCTAAGCAGGAACCTGAAGTAGGAGGATGGTGGTCCATGCCCTACTGGGCATAAATGGGAGACCCTATTTGTAAAATATGTAAAACAAAACGGACGGGGAGTGTGGCTCAAGTGGCAGAGTTCAAAACTCAATACTGCCAAAAAAAAAAAAATTAAAAAAAAAAAGAAGAAATTTATGAGTCCCCCAAACAAGATGTCACCCTCATTCATACTGCAGAAGGAGGAGACTGAGACACAGAAAGGAAAAATGACTTACTCACGGTCACACAGCCAGGAAGTGGCAGGCCTGAGATTGGACCCTGCAGCCTTCTGTCCCCCAGAAACGGTCTTTTCACTAAGCACTGTGTAGCCTCCTTCCTTGGCATGTCCCCTAACCCTCGTTCCTGCCACCCTACCTCATCCCCTCCTTGTCCTCCAGTCCAGACTCTCCTCTCCTCCCCCTAGACCCACCCCCACAGTGGCCAGAGGAGACTTCCGCCCACGGCTTCAGGCAGCTGCTGGAGGTGAACCTGCTGGGCACTTACACCCTGACCAAGGTGAGGGCTGGGACCCTGCTGCCAGGCTCAGATGGCCTTCTGGCAGTCGGATTGTGACACTCATTTCATCTGAGAAACAAAATGTTTTCTGCTTCGTCTTCTTTGTAGAAAACAAATGGGTACAAACCCCTACATCCGGCAAAAGCTATCTGGGTAGCCAGAGACCCCAGCTTTAAGAAGGGACCGTCTGGGACCTTCCAAACTGGTGTAGAGTTAACAGGACATGGCATGTTAAAAACACAGCAGGTTGGTTTTGTCATTGGGCCACCTAGGAGGTCTGTGACAGGCAGTGGCTATTCTTACTTTTTAGACTGGATAGGGTGGTCAGGAAGGCCTCCCTGAGAGGTGACATTTGGGTCAGAGTCACAAGGACATGTGAAATAGAGCAGTTCAGACAGAGGAACACCAGTGCAAAGGCCCTGGGGTGGGACGGTGCCAACTTGGAGTGTAGGAGGAAAACCAGGAGGCCAGTTTGGTTGGACCTAAGAGGGAGGAGGAGAGGGTGAGGACACCTAGGATGAGGACCTCCTGTGTCTTGGAGAGGACTCTGCTTAGACCCTGATTGAACCAGGGCAGCGCCCTCAGGGTTCAGAGCTTGGACAGGTGGGGCTGTAAGTGGGTTCTGGCGCCCTCTGGCGGCGGCGTGGGGAACACGATGCAGGGTGGTGGGGGAGGTGGCTTTGGCCTTGGACTTGATGAGCCCTGGCTGGATTCCAGTAGAGTTGTCAGCGTTTCTACATAGACTAGATGTGTGGGTGGACTGGAGAAAGAAGGGAGCCCGGCTCTCGGGTTTATTTGTCTTCCCACCCCACCCTAGCAACTGAGAGGACAGAGCTGTGGTCCTGGGGGAGCAGACGCTGGGCTGGGGGTGGAGGACTGGTGGTTGTCAGCTGTCCCAGGGCTTGCCCATGGGGTGGCTAGTGGCTGTGGGATTCACAGGTCCCCCTGGGCTGAGTGAGGCTTAGAGACCAGATTTGGGGTTTCCCATCTTGAGCTGAAGACTTGGGGAGGGGAGACTGAGAGGGAATCCCAGGTTGGGGAGCTGAGGGGGGCGGTGAGGACTTTCAGGTCATTTGAGATCCAGTGAAATGTGCAGAACACTTGGGTGACACCCTGCCCCACAGGGGAATTCTGGTCCTCAATACCTGCTGGCTTTCCAAGTTCAACCAACAGGTCAGCACCACACGAAGGGCTAACGATGTATACAGCCTCTACATTTAAAGACGTACTTCAGGACGGTGGCTCAGTGGTAGGGCAAGATTTTATAAAACTTTTTTTTTTTTTTTTTTTTTTGCTGGGATTTAGGTTGAACTCAAGCCTTTGTACTTGCAAAGAAGGAGCTCTACCACTTGAGCCACACTTCCAGTCCATTTTGCTCTGGTTATTTTAGAGATGGGGTTTCGTGAACTATTTACCTGACCTAGCCTCGAACTTTGACCCTCCCCATCTCAGTCTCCCAAGTAACTAGAATTATAGGTGTGAGCCACTAGCACCTGGCTCTGACTTTTTTTTATAAAACTTTTACTATGGCATTTTATAAGTAAGCAGGAAGGCAGAAAGGATCATATATTGAACAGGCCCAAGGCCCTGGGTTCCATCCCTGGCACCACAAAAAGACAGGTATTTGACATAAAGAAACAGGTTTTGATTTTCTCTTGAAAAGTTGGGGACTTAGTAAACTGGACCTCTAGCCCAACTGTCTTTTGTACCCCTGCCCCTTGATGTACCCTATTGGGCTGCTTCACCCTGTTACCTGTGAGTGACCCATACAGAAGCCTTGCATGGCAGTCAGGGTCTAGCCCTGGGGCCCACCTGCCCAAGTTCTCTGCCACTACCTTGTTGTGCAAGTTACTAAGCTTGTCTGTGCCTCAGTTGGCTCATCTGTGTGATGGATCTGATAAGGGTTCCTCATTCACAGAGTAGTTCTGAGATTTGAATGAGATTAAATTAAACATCCATGAAGCCCTTAGACCATACCTGGCATGGATGTTACGGATGTTACTGCCTTGAAACCTTGGTCCATTTAGTGTCTGGTAACCAACCCACCTTCCGGAGACACACATTGGGCAAATGAAGCCTGGAGAAAGCAAGGGAAAAGGTGAGGTTTCAGTTGAACTCTGAGTGGGAGGGAAGAAGAGAGGGAATAGGGCACAAGGTATTTCACTCACCAAGAAGAGTGTGCAAAGGCCCTGAGGCAGGATCCACTGGGTATCTCTGAAGAGAAACCTTTACCTCCAGCTTTAGCAATTGTAAACATTTTGTTAAACTTTTTCTGTCCATTGCTTCCTGCCACCTCTCACCTAGGCAGCTTATAATTTCATCAGTAAGATGTCAATGTAGCCAGGCACCAGTGACTCACACCTATAATTAAGGCTACTTAGGAGGCAGAGATCAAGAGGATCAAGGCTGAAAACCAGCTTGGACAAATAGTTCTCAAGACCCTATCTCAAAAGTACCCAACACCAAAACAGGACTGGAGAAGTGGCTCATGCAATAGAACACCTTAGCAAGTGTGAGGTCCTGAGTTCAAATGCCAGTACTGCCAAAAAAAAGAGAGAAAAGATTTCATACTACCACCAGTCGATTAGAACTGTTTTAATTTACTTTTATTTTGGCATAATTTTTTTGGTTTTTGTTTTGTTTTGCTTGAGACAGAGTCTCACTATGCAGCTCAGGCTGGCCTGAAGTTGAGGTCCTCCTGCCTCAGCCTCCCAAGTGCTGGGATTACAGGAGTGTACCACTATGTCCAGCTCAATCTTCCCTCTTTGAAGTAGCAGCAGTCAGGAGCCTAACCTGTCTTATCTCAGTCACTGAGGACAGCTGCCCCCTCCTGTCCTCTAAGATGGGTACGTGTGACTGTGCACCTCCGTGTACTTTCATAAATGCCAGGGATTTTGTCCATGACTCTTTTTTTTTTCCTTTTGATCTTTTGAGACAGGGTCTTGCTTTGTAGCCCGGGATGGCCCTGAACTCACGATCCTCCTACCTCAGCCAACGTGAGGCCAAAGTGCACTGGAGGACACTAGGAGAGCCAGGCCCAGCCAGTAGTGGAGGTGGCAGCCAAGGAAAGCCAACATCTGTGTGGCTACCTTCTCCCTACTGGCCAAGGACTGGATGGGCAGGGTCAGGAAGGGACTCAGAGGGTATGGGACAAATATTTATTGAGTGCTAGTGCAGGCAGGGATGAGGGTAGCCAAGAACCTTGTCCCATCCTCAGGGTGAGGGGAATGGGGCAGGGAATGAGGCAGGGGTAGGGCTGGGGTGAGGTTGGTCTGCTGGCTTCAAGGCTGATGGGAGTGAGTGAGAGGAGGATGGGGGTTCCCAGGAGGAGGGCAGAGAACGCCTTCCCAGGTGCTCACTTCAGGCATTCCTGCTCCTGTTGTTAGCCTTCCCTGTGCTTAGAGGCCTCAGAAATTTTTATTTGTAGTCCGTGTGGTGGTTCACCCTATAATCCTAGCTACTCAGAAGGCAGAGATCAGGAGGATCATGGTTCAAAGCCAGCCCAGGCAAATAGTTTGCAGGACCCTATCTCGAAAAACCCTTCACAAGAAAGGGCTGGTGGAGTGGCTCAAGGTGAAGGCCTTGAGTTCAAGCCCGAGCACTGCAAAAAAAGAATATTTATTTATTTATTTATTTTTCACCTTGCATGGGATCTTACCCAGGACTTTGTGCATGATGGGCAAGTGCTCTCCCACTGAGGGATAACTCCCAGTCCAAAGCTGATTTTTTGGTTGTTTTGGTGGTACTGGGGTTTGAACTCAGGGTTCACACTTACTAGGCAGGTGCTCTACCACTTGAACCACTCCTCCAGCCTGAAATTCTGATTTATTTATGACTTTTGGCTGCAGACTGTCTGGCCCCAAATACTGGCCCTGTCAGGTGTCAGTGATCCTCTGCAGACATCGGTCCCTCAGTCTCCTTGTCTGTAAAATGGAGCTACTGGCTGTACCTCCCTGTGGGGTTATGAGGATTAAATGAGGGAATGGGTGTACAGAGCTGAGAACAGCTCCAGATATGCCCTTCCTCCTTCTTCCCTCCTCCCTCCCCTTCCCTCCTTCCTTCCCGTGTCAGAAGGGTGTGTGTGCCACAGAGAAAGGAGGTAGGGTGGGGACCCTGCCTGGACACAGAGAGGGGGACAGAGATTCAGAGAAAGGGGGATAGAGACCCAGAGAGAGGGCAACAGAGACCCAGAGAGGGGAACAGTGACTCAGAGATAAGGAGAGAGGACTGGAGGCGTGGCTCAATAGGTGGAGCGCCTGCTTTGCAAGTGCAAAGCCCTGAGTTCAAACCCCAGTCCCGCCAAAAAAAGAGAGAGAAGAGAGACCCAGAGAGAGGGCACAGAGACTTTAAGAAGGATAGAGGCTCAGAGTGAGGAGGACAGAGATTCAGAGATGGGACAGGGAGACAAAAACAGAGACAGAGGGAGACAGACAGACAGTCAGACAAAGACCTGCAAAGAGAAAGGGGACAGACCCAGAGAGTAGGGAACAGAGACTCAGAGTCAGGGGGATGGAGATCCAGAGAGAGACAAAAACAGAGGCAGAGAGAGAAAGACCTCCAAAGAGAAAGGGGACAGAGATCCAGAGAGAGGGAGACAGAAACAAAGTGAGAAGGAGACAGGACCCAGAGAGGGGAACAGAAATGGGGAGGAGACGGAGACCCAGAGAGAGGGGACGGAGACCTGGTAGAAGAGGCAGGGAGAGAAATCCCTTGCTACAGGGAGAGACTGCAGTGCAGAGACCCAGTGACAGTAGGGCACACTACAGAAAAGTGCTGGATGCAGTGCCCAGGGGCCCCGAGCTGAACTAGGCACATGGCAGGGAGCTGGCCATTGTTACAGACCTCGGGTGCCAGTGGCTGCACTCGGGCACACTGGGGGTGACCAAGGGGCCAGGTGGCTGACTCTGTCTTTGTCTCCCTAGCTCGCCCTCCCTCACCTGCGGAAGAGCCAGGGGAATGTCATCAACATCTCCAGCCTGGTCGGGGCCATTGGCCAGTCCCAGGCTCTTCCCTATGTGGCCTCCAAGGTATGCCAGCCCTGTCCCTTCCTTTCCTCCCTGACCTTGCTCTTGGTGTGGGGGGGTTCAGCCTTGAGCCCCGATTCTTTAGGAGTAAGGCCCCCGATTCAGCCCCGAGGCATAACTACCTGTGACAAATCTCTACATGATACATTCCTCCCAAGATCCAGAGCCTGGTGCACTTGGAGGCTTGCGAGAGGATGTCGCATCTGATGCCCTGGCTGGAAGGAGAGGTTGGGAAGCTGCCATCGTCTGGCACTGAACTTTCTCTTGGCTCTGTTTCTGCAGGGGGCCGTAACAGCTATGACCAAAGCCTTGGCCTTGGATGAGAGCCAATATGGTGTCCGAGTCAACTGGTGAGCTCTCCAGGAAGCTTGGCACACTGGGAGTGGGCCCAAGAAGAAGTATTCGGGACTGACTTCTCTGATCCCCTCTCTACCCTCCCCAGCATCTCTCCAGGAAACATCTGGACCCCACTGTGGGAGGAGGTGGCAGCTTCAATGCCAGACCCCAAGGCCACAATCCGAGAGGGCACCTTGGCCCAGGTAGGAGAGGGGCAGGTCAAGGTAGAGTGTAGGAGGCTTGGGATGTGTGGCCATCGAGTGGGAACTCCTCTTCTCTTTGTGGGGGCGGATCCTGGGGCTGAACCCAGGCCACACCCCTACCCCTTTTGTTTGCATTCAGGTTTTGACTTTGAAAATCCCTAACTTTGCATGGATTGGCCTCAAGGTGGAAATCTTCCTCCCTCAGCCTCCCAAGTAGTTGGGATTGTAGGCATGATCCACCACACCTGGCTCTGGGGGTGCCTCTTGACCTCCTTTTCCTCCTCTTCTCTCCCCAGCCCCTGGGCCGCATGGGCCAGCCAGCTGAGGTGGGGGCTGCAGCTGTGTTCCTGGCCTCTGAAGCCACCTTCTGCACAGGCACGGAACTCCTGTTAACCGGTGGTGCCGAGCTGGGGTATGGGAGAAAGGCCAGTCGAGGCACTGCTGTGGACATCCCCACTCTCCCCTCCTGATATCCCACCTTTCCACTTTCTCAGGCTTTCCTGCCTGGCACTTCACACCCCAAACTCCAACCTATCATGTACCTCCCAGGTGTAGTCTCCAGTCCCTTAGTTCTTAAGCCCAGTTAGGAGGTACCAGGTCACCTTGTAGATGCCCATAAAAGCAACTGGCAGCAGGGCATGGTGCTTCACAGCTGTAATCCTAGCAGTGTGGAGGGTGAGGCAGGAGGATCACGAGTTCCAGATCAGCCTCGCTACATGGTGAGCCCCTGTCTCAAAACAAAGAAAAAAAAAAAAGAAATTTGTAGCCATAAGAAGAACATCACTGTGTTTATTTTCTGCTCTTTATTCAAGTCTGGTCGCACCCGGATTCCAATCCCTTCAAGAGTCCCTGCCCCCACGTGTGCCTAGACCCTGTGGGACTACAACTCCCAGCAGGCCTTGCAGCAGATACCATAATTGCTTTAATGCCTGTTGCCTGGTCTCCAGAGCTTCACTTGGGCGCTAATTAATAAAAGGCCAACAGGGGAGAGTAAGTTAAGCGCTAATTGGGAGATAATGAAGAAGGAGCAAAAGAGCTTCTGCTTTATTCTTGGCCCATCGGGGAAAGGAGTTTTGACCTCCTTGCCTGTGGAGTAGGAAGGTAGCTGGCACCAAGGCCTGGAGGTGTTGACACAGTCTGGGTCAGAAGGACAAAGGGCTGAGACCCGCACTCCTGGGCTTGGGAGAGGGGACTAATATGAGACGCGGATTTCGCCTCGGGGGAAGGAACCGATCCGGATTCCCGCAGGTGGCGGGCGCGGCCCAGGCTCTGCTAATTCCCCTGGGTGAGTGGGGGTGTGTGTGTGGGGGGGTGGAGCCGCAAAGCTGCTGCGGATTGGTTGCGGAGGGGGGTGTGCGGCAATCACTGATTGGCTGCGGCGCGGGGCGGACACCGCCCCTACAGCCAGGGCTAGGTGGGAGGGGCGGAGGACTCCGGCGGAAAGAAGAAACTAACAGCAGCTGCGGGGCGGGAAGGGCGCCAGGCACTTGGTTTGCCTACTTGCGCCTGTGGCTGTTTTTTTTGTTGTTAGACAGGATTTCACTAAGTGACTCAGGCTGGCCTCCAACTCGCTATTCTCTTGCCTCCGCCCCTCCAGGGCTGGGATTACAGCAGCATCCTACCACTCCGGGTCTAAGACCTACACGAAAGGCCGGAATCCTTTTTTTCCAAGTCCCTTTCAATCCCTCCCACTCCAGTACGGGGGGTCGACCCCAGGGGCTGGCACATGCTAGACAAGCCTCTGCCCCTAAGAAGCGGTATTGCCCGCACCTACGGCCAAGTGAAGTAGGGCGACACTAACTGGGGACATTGTGCAGGTGGCATATGGGGAGAAGATCTCAGAATTATGGAGACAGTGCCTAGGGACCGGATTTTGAGAACACAACAGAGATGACTGTGGTGACTCAGGAACTCAGAGGCAGAAGTTTGGGGGACCTCTGAAAAAGAATTTGGGGGGCACAATAACCTAGAGTAACAACTAGGGGTCACTGCCTCAAGTGTGAATTGCTGGGGGTCAGAGAGATCTGAAAGGCTGTGATTGACTGTCTCTGGAGTCCTGAGTCTGGGGAGAGCTCAAGAAGGGTGTGACAAGGAAATCCCCGCTGGGGGCTCATTTGAGGTCCCTGATGAGTAGGGTGCGTGTGCAAAATTTTTCGGGTTTCACTGATTAAGAAACTGGATGGAAGGATGGTGAACTGTGTGTGTGTGTATAACTCAAGAGTTACAAAGAACATATATATGTTCTGGAACTTGCTATACTGCCTCAGTCTTCTGAGTGCTGGGATTACAGGCGTGCACCTCCACACCTGCCTACAGATGGCTTCTTGTTGATAAGAAAAACTTATCAAATGGAGAACCATCCAGACCATAGTGAAGCTCCTCCCCCATCAGAGGTCTTTTTCCAAATTCTTTCTCTTTATGTGACCACTGACCACTGACATTTATAGAGAATTTTGTGTGTGTGTGTGTGTGTGTGTGTGGTACTGCGGTTTGAACTCAGGGCCTCACGTTTGCTAGGTAGGGGCTCTACCACTTGAGCCACTCCACCTGTGTTTTTTCGAGATAGTGTTTGGAGAACTATTTGCCCAGGGCTGGCTTGGAACTGCGATCCTCCCGATCTCTGCCTCCTGAGTAACTAGGATTGCAGGCATGACCCACCGCCCTGCTGAAAAAAAAAAAAAAATTAAAAAAAAAAAGAACAAAAGCTCTTGCAGGGTAGGAGTGTAAGTGCAGCAGACCAAAGTTGGGGTCCAGGAAGGAGGGTTGTAGTTCAAGTTCTGCTTCTTCCTGCGCATGTGCCGCGCAGCGGGGTCTCGGCTCCCTGGCGTTCGTTTGATGAACGATTGAATTGGGGGAGAGCCATCTTGCAGGAGGGGGCGTGAGCAGGGCGGGGCCGGAACGTTTTTCTCCAGGCTGCGCCCCTGGCGGGCACAGTTGCTGGACGCACGGATCATGGCTGCTGCCACGCTGGGGCAGGTGGGTTCGTGGCCCCGCGCTGGGGGCCGGGGAACCCCGGGGGGAGGCGCACTTCCGGGAGGACCCCGCGTGCGATCTTTTCCGGATCCGAGCCGCGGCTGTGGCCCTCGAGTTCCTCAGTGGGGCGCGGAGGATGGGGCCCCTTGGGAAGGAGCACAAGGCTTTTTAATGGGCAGGGGGAATGGGGAGATGCAAAAGGAGTGGAGAGGGGACCTAGACCGGGAGGTATAAAGTGGGGAATATGGAGGGCGCTGTAACGGGAGAGGCACGAGTCGGGTGGGGGGTGAGGTGATTGTGATTTGGGGACCAGTTGGACATTAGGGACCAGTCGCCCCTGGGGGCGCCGGGATAGGGGTCCCAGGACTTCTAGGGGCTGCAGTAGGATGAAGACTGCGTCTCACTAGGAAAAGGACTGGAAGTCCTACTGGAATGAAAGGTGGATAAAGACAGATGTGGAATATTCCTATTTGCACCTGGTTTCAAAATCGAGGAAGCTTTCCCTCACTCTAAGGGACTGAGATCCTTCAGCCAAGAGTAGGACGATCCGCCCTTACCCGATGTCAAACAGCAGTGTCAGTCTCATTTTAGAGAAAAAGGTTTCTCAGTGTGGAAAGTGGGTGGTTACACCCTGGACAGCTGCAATATAACCTTGGACAAAATGTTTCCTGGTAACTTTGTTCTGATTTTATCTGAATCTCTTATCCCAGGCGGAGAAATACCAGGGCAGACGTTTACTTCTCCAGGTCTTAGTGGCTGATGGGAGGTTAGTCCTGGGTAGGAATTGTGGGACAGTCTTGAGATAAAACAGGGACCATCTGGACATTGATGGCCACAGACCTGAGCTATGGTGGGACAATCCTGGGCTGAGAGCCGTGGCTCTGTCATAGTAGGACAGTGTTGCACTCTAATGAGATAGTCCTGGCCACTGAGGAAGGCAGTTTTAACCTGTAAGAGACAGTCTGGGAACAGTTCTAAGCTATGATGGATGCATGCAGTCCTGGACTCCCATATGGGGACATCATGGGTGTGAAGGGGACATTGCTGGGCCCTGTCAGAGATTGTCTTGCAGGAAGTGGCCTAGACTATCATGGGTACAGTTCTTGGGAGTCCTGAGACTTAACAGGGCCAATCCTGGGCTATAGAAAGGGAAGGTGCTGAACTTGGAGGGGGATATTTCTCAGCTGTTTTGACACATACTTGGCTCTTGGACAGTCTTGGGCGATGACAGGGACAATCTGGGGTTATAAAGCAGGCAGTCTTGGACTTATAAGTCTATGAGAGAGTTCTGAAATACAGTGAGGCAATTGTAGGTGTGATGGTCAGTACTGGGCAGTGACAAGGAGAGTTTGGGGCTATGACAAGCAGTTCTATAGCTTGAGCTGTAATGGGATAGTTGTTGACTGAGACCAGGACATCATGGCACTGTGACAAGTCCTGAGCTGTGATGTGGTGGCAGTGCTGTGCTTGGGCTTCAACAGGGACACTCCAGGGTTTGAACTCAGGGCCTTCACCTTGAGCCACTCCAGCCTTTTTGTGATAGGTTTTTTTCAAGATAGGATCTCACTATTTGCCCGGGCTGACTTTGAACCGAAATCCTCCTGATCTCTGCTTCCTGAGTAGCTGGGATTACAGATGTGAGCCACTGGTGCCTGGCTAACACTCCTAGTCTTTGATGGTGACATGCTTGGGACATGTTGGGGACAGCAGTTGTGGGTTATCAGGGACATGATGGAGGCTTCATCATGTTAGCCCTGCCTTGTGCAACCCCTCCCTCTTCTTCATTTAGTTCAGCCTCAGTCCTTTCCCACTTCATCCCCCTAACCCCCCCTGCCATCTGGGCACCTCCTTTGGGTCAGTCCCCACAGCTTAGGGTCTGGAATACATGGTGCGGTGCCTTCCTTGAGCCTAGAGGATACTTCTGGTCTTAGAGAAATGCCCCAGGAGGATAAAGGTAGCTTTTCCCATTGTCACCAGGTCTTTGGCCAGTGGGGATTTCTACTCTCCTGGACACTGAGCCCAGTGCCTTCTCTCTGTGCTGTGGGTGGGTGGTGGTTTCTGCCTCTGCATCTCTCATCTCCTGAATGTCTCTGTCTCTGAGCTTCTCAGACAGATTTCTCTGTCTTTCCTCAACCCCTGATCTCCCTTCCACTCCAGGCTCTGTTGTATGAGGTCCAGTCTTGGTCTGGGGAGGGAGGAAGGAAGGGGGGAGGGGAGGAAGGGAGGAAGCGGACCCGCCCTCCTGCCCTCCTTTCCTCTCTCCCTTCCTTACTTCCCTTCATTCATTCCTTCCTTCCTTCTATCCCAAGCTGACCTCAAACTCACCATTCTCCCACCTCAGCCTCTTGAGTGCTTTGATTATAAGTGTTTACTACCACACCTGGCTCCAGACTTCAGTTCTTTGCCTGAGCCCTCCACTCAATCAGATCTGTTTCACACTCTGTTCTTGCCAGTTTGTTTTTCACTTCTGTGTCTCCTCTCCTTGTTCCATTCCTCTGTCTTACTATCATTTATCTTTATGGGTCCCTCTGTTCTCCTGTCCACGAGCTGGCTGCTCTGTGCCCTGTGTCTAACTTGTCTCCATGGTGTGGGTGTCCTGTCCCCTGCTGGGCAGAAGAATGGCCACAGTGCTGGACTGGTTCCATGTCACCACCCAGAGGCCACATGGTGTGTTAACGCCCTGATTACAGAAGCCCTTGGACACCACATCATCAAGACATCAGAGCAGGGCACCAATGGCTCACACCTGTAATCCTAGCTACCCAGGAGGCAGAGATCAGGAGGATCACAGTTCAAAGCCAGCCCAGGCAAATAGTTCCTGAGACCCTATTTTGAAAAACCCATCACAAAAAAGGGCTGGTGGAGTGGCTCAAGGTGTAGGCCCTGAGTTCAAACTCCAGTACTGCAAAAAGAAAAAATAAATAAATAAATAAAATACCCAAAATAAAAAAGGGTTGGTGGAGTGGGTCAAGTGACAGAGTGCCTGCCTAGCAAGTGTGAAGCCCTGAGTTCAGACCCTGGTGCAGCCAAAACCAAAAACTCATCAGAAGCTTTGTGATCCCAATTTTCTGACAGTACCACACAGTCTATCTCCCTGTGACTCACCTACTGACCAGTGTTCACCACCATCCACGTCCATTCTGTCCCTTCTCAAGAGTCCCTGTTAGCTTTCTGAGCTGACTGGCAGGAACAGGTTAGGCCACTTGATCTCCAAACCTCACCACCAGCTGCCTCCCTGAGGACTGTGGAAAAAGGCCTTGTGAGGTCAAAGGTCACCTTGCAGACGGAGCCTGAACATTTTTCCCCTGTTCTCAGAAAGGACAAAGGGAAGAGTGCCTATCCACTGATACCACAGCGGCCCTCAGCCGCCCAGGCAGGAAGGGCTGTGGAATCACTGGCCAAGTGCTATTCAAGCCTTGGGTTAAGCTTCAGTAATCCAAGCGCAGGTGATACCCCATGAGAGAAGAAACAATTGCACCCCTGGTCTGAGGGAAGAGGACTGGGCTCTGGACTCCTGGTCTGGTGTAGGAAAAGCTGGTGTCTGGACTTCTGGATCTGAGAGAGGAGGGCTGGGCCTTAGCCCCTAAGGAGGGAGGAGAGCTGTGGCCTGGACCCCTGAGTATGAGGGAGGAAGACTCAGTCAGGATCCTTGGATCTGAGGGAGGAGGGCCAGGGGCTGGACCCCTAGTTCTGAGGGGGAGGGCTGTGGCCAGAACCCTGGGTCTGAGGGAGGAGGGCTTGGGTCAGAGGGAGGAGGACTGGGCCTGGACCCCTGGGTCTGAGGGAGAGGGCTGGGGTTTTGACTCCTGGATTCTGAGGGAACATGACCTTTAGGCCCCTCACTTTCCTAATTGTCAGAATTTAGGGTCCATCTTCCCCCAGGAGGCCTTCACTTACCTGCTCAGGTTCCCTCATGGTTGTCTCTTCTGAGCAGATCTTAGGCTGGGGTCAAAGTTCCCTGGGAGGGGCCTGTGTTTGACTTTGCCCCAGATTGGATGACTCAGCTCTTTCTAGGGATGGCCATCCAGGGCTGGGGAAGGAGACTAGGGCCAGAGCCACATGCTCTCTCTAGAGTGCAATGGGACTGCAGCACAGCAGGCCCAAGGGACCTGCCATGCGCAAATGGTTGTCAGTGGGGTGCCAGGACCCTTGCCGTTGTTGCTAGCCTCATGACTATCCTCATTTGTCTCCCCACCCCAGGTCTGGGCCCGAAAACTCCTCCCTGTCCCCTGGCTTCTATGTGGTCCCCGAAGATATGCCTCCTCCAACTTCAAGGTGACAGAAGGGGTCTGGACCCCTGGGTCTGAGGGAGGAGGGCTGGGGCCTGAACCCCTGGGTCTGAGGGAGGAGGCTGGGGCCTGGACCCCTGGGTCTGAGGGAGGAGGCTGGAGTCTGGACCCCTGGGTCTGAGGGAGGAGGGCTGGGGCCTGAACGGCAGGCAGCTGGATTTGGTCCCTCAGAGTGCCACATTCTAGAAGTATAGGTGGGCACCATCAGGCAGTGGGAAAGCAATGAAATTGCATTTTCCAGAGCCCTCTGGGCAACTGGTCCTTCTCTGTTGGTCTGAAACCTAGGGGCTCATGGGAGTTGTAGTTTTCCCAGTCTAGAGACCTTAACCAGATTCCAAGACACCTGAACACCTTGTCTTTTCTCAGGCTGCAGATCTGCAGCTGCAAATGACACAGGAGCCTCAAAAGAAGCCAGGCCCCAGTGAGCCCCTGGTGTTTGGCAAGACTTTCACCGACCACATGCTGATGGTGGAGTGGACCGGGAACCACGGCTGGGGGCAGCCCCGTATCCAGCCCTTCCAGAACCTCACACTGCATCCAGCCTGCTCTGCTCTCCACTACTCCCTGCAGGTGGCATGGCGGCTGACCTCTGTCCCAGCCCTGTCTGCATCTCCTCCTCCTTGGCTGTGTGTCTTTCTGGGTCCACCTCCCTGGGTTGATTTTTTGGCATATGTCTAGCTTCTGTGGATTTATCAGAGTTTTCCCAAACCTCCCATGCTCCGTGCCCTGTGCCATCGTGGGTTTCCACCATGAGCAGGCTCAGTGTGTCCTTCACTTGAAATCCTCATGCTTCAGTTATAACCTGGTGTGATCTGTGCTCTGATGAGGCAGTTGGGAGGCTAAAAGAGACCCTCATCTAATGTGCAAGAAAGTTGAGCTGGGGTGGTGGTACATGGCAAGTGTGAGACCCTGAGTTCAAACTCCAGTATGTCAGGGGTGAGGGGGAAAATCAAGTGTGGTGATTATGCCTGTAATCTCAGTTGCTCGGGAGGCAGAAGTAGCACAATCACTGTATCACTGTCTGAGAACATCTCAGGCAAAAGCATGAGACCCTCTCTGAAAAACTGAAAGCAAAAAGGGCTGGGGGCATGGCCCAAGTGGTAGAGAGCTTGCCTAGCATGCCTGTGGCCCTGAGTTCCATACTAGATAACAATAAAAAAAAAAAAAAAAGAAGGAAGAAAGGAAGAGGATCCCCCTGGCACAGTGGGGATGTTAGGATATTGTCCGAGTTGGGACAAGAGCTGGATGTGTTTGGGAGAAATGAATCAGAGCATGGCAGAGGAGACTGAGGGCTGAGAGGCACTGGATCAGGGAAGGGCTAGGCCAGCAGGCTATAGGGAGGACGAGCTGGAGTTGAGGGACTGCAAGCCAAGACATGTAGGTGAGGAACTCTGAGCTGCAGCCAGAGGGGTAATCATTCTCCTTAGCACCCCTTAAGGTGCTTTTCCCACCTTTTTCTTTTATAGCAGCATAGTATTCCATCCTAGTGACAGTCTCCTATTTTTGTTCATGTAGGTTGTTCCCAGCCTTGTGCTATGATAAACAATGTTGTAATCAATCAACTACTGGTCATATTACTTCTTTTAAATGTAAGTATATCTCTCTGCCCAGTTTCTAGAACTGTTGGCACATGTTTTTGTAACTTTGGCAGATGTTGCACAGTGGCCTCTTCAGAGGCTGTATCCATTCCCACACCCACCAACCAAGCCTGTTTCTTCAAACCCTGGCCAAGCTTCGTCAGACTTAAATATTTTCCAAATTCATAAGTCACTTTAAAGGTTCTAAAAATAATTTTAATTTTCGTTGTACCCTCCTCCCATTAGGAATGAAAGTGCATTTTGTCATGAACTTATGTAGCTTTTAAAAAATTTTTGGTGGTATTAGGATTTGAACTTAGAGCCTCCTGCTTCTCTTGGCAGGTGCTTTACCACTTGAGCCACACTCTCAGTCAGTATGTAGCATTTAACTTGCTTTTTTTTTTTTTTCTTTCTTAGTACAGAGATGGAACACAGGGCCTCCTACACAGACGGCTAGCACACTTAAGCCACACACTTAGCTGTAGCTTGTTTTTGAGATAGGGCCTCCCTAGGTAGCCCAGGCTGTGACCCTACTGGTAATACTTCTGCCTCTGCCTCCCAAGTGCTGGGATTGCAGAACTGCACTGCGATACCTGGCTTTACAGTGCTGGGGATGGAACCCAGAGCCTCCTGCATGGTAGGCAAGTGCTTTACCACTGAGCTGTACCCCCAGACCCCTACAAGGACTCCAAAAACATAATTCCTCCACAATTATCATTCTTGAAAAGTATAACCAGTAAATGGAAAAGTCATTGCCTGCCCCTCCCTTTCTCTTTCCTGGTACGGAGGTTTGAACTCTGGTCTTCAAGCTTGCTAGGCAGACGCTGTACAGCTCGAGCCAGCCTCCTGACCTCTCTGGCTCTCTTGTCCATGATGCTTTCTGTTTTTTGCTTTAATCACCCTTTCATTATCCCTGTCTGCCTGTTTCTCATTGTGTGTGTGTCTCTCCATCTTTCTGTGACTCTGTCATTCCATAATGGCGGGGGGCGGGGGGGATCTCTGAGTGCTGAGCTTCTTCCCTGTGTGTCCCCATAGGTCTTTGAGGGCATGAAGGCATTCAAAGGGAGGGACCAGCAGGTGCGCCTCTTCAGACCCTGGCTCAACATGGACCGGCTGCTGCGATCAGCCCAACGCCTCTGCCTGCCGGTGAGTGGCCAGGCGAGCCTGGGAGGAGGGTGCAGGGTGGGCAAGCGTGGCCAAGGCCCCTGACTCCTGTGGAACCCCACCCAGAGTTTTGACAAAGCTGAGTTGCTTGAGTGCATCCGCCGGCTCATCCAAGTGGACAAGGACTGGGTTCCTGAGGCAGCTGGCACCAGCCTCTACGTCAGGCCTGTGCTTATTGGGAACCAGGTGGGTGTGACCCTGGGCTAGGAACCCTATGCCTGCGTCTGAGGCAGGAGGGCTGGGTCTGGACCCCTGGGACTGAGGGAGGAGGCTGGGGCCTGAACCCCTGGGAGCAGGCTGGGGCCTGGACCCCTGGGTGTGAGGGAGGAGAGCTGGGGTCTGGACCCCTGGGACTGAGGGAGGAAGCTGGGTCAGGGCTCCTGGGTCTGAGGGACAAGGGCTGGTGCCTGGACCGTTGGGTCTGAGGGAGGAGGACTGGGTCAGGAAAGCTGTGGTCTAGACTGCTGGACCTGAGGGAGAAGGGCTGGAGACTGGACCCCTGGGTCTGAGGGAGGAGGGCTGGCTCTTCACTCCTGTCCCTTGATGTTGTCCTCTGCCCCTCACAGCCCTCACTGGGTGTTGGTGTTGTCACAAGAGCCCTCCTGTTTGTCATTCTCTGTCCGGTCGGCTCCTACTTCCCTGGAGACTCCATGACCCCAGTCTCCCTCCTGGCTGACCCAACATACGTTCGGGCCTGGGCAGGTGGTGTCGGTAACTGCAAGCTGGGTGGGTAAGTGGCACCACCCAGGCTTCCCAGGCACTGGGCATCAGATAGGATGAAGTGTCTCTGGATGCGGATTGAGCATCCTCCCTGTCCTGTCTTAAATCCTTCGGGCAGTTGTGCCTTTCTGTTGAGACACAGAGTCCCTGGCACCATGTGTGGGGCTCTGGGTAAGCTCTGTCTCCTTGTGGCCTCCCTCGCGCCTGAAGACAAGTAGTGGAAAGAGGAGACAAGTGCACTGAGAAGGGAGTCCTGGCTGCAGGTCAGTGGAAAACCAGGATTGGTCCCCTTGGAAGCTTCCAGAAAGGAAGTTTACACTGAGCTCATTGATCTCCCCCAGGCTTAGCCTCTCCTGATCACCCAGGCTGGGCCATGCCCATGTTCTTGCTTCCACAGAGGCCCACCCTCCAGTGCACAGCCCTGGTGTGGGCTTTCTGCATTGTTTTTGTTCCTCTAGAACTTAGCCTGGTGGGAGCTCACAGTGGATCTTTAGAGATCAAGCAAGAGGGTAGCCAATGGCGTGTTGGGACAGGAAGTTTATGACCCCAGCTGGGGGTTCATTCAGGCCCTGTGGTTTTTCTTTTTGTTTTTTATTGTTTGTTTATTCTTTTTTTTTTTTTTTGCATACTGAAGTTTGAACTTGGGGCCTACATCTTGCCACTCCACCAGCCCTTTTTTGTGATGGGTTTTTTGAGATAGGATCTGGCAAACTATTTGCTAGGCTGGCTTTGAACTGCAATGCATCTGATCCATCCTCCTGAGTAGCTAGGATTATAGGTGTGATCCACTGGCATCCAGCTTCTTTGGATTTTTGACAAGTCTCACTATATAGCTTGAGATGGCCTTGAACTCACAATCCTCTTGCCTCAGCCTCTTGACTGCTGGATTACAGACATGCACTACTGTGCTTGGCTCATTCAGGACCTTACAACACACATCTGATGAGGTCTACTGACCATCAGGTACTCTGTGGGTTGAAGCTGAGGACATGGATGAGTCAGAGCCAGCCCTGTCCTCCAGGACTGTTGGGAGCCTGTGTCCAGAACTGCCTGTGCTCTGAGGGAGGTATCATAGGGCATTCTGAAAGCTTCATGGAGGAGGTGACACATCACTTGAGTGTGAGGAGTAGGAAGAGGTGGTTTCTTGGATACAGAAGGTCCTACATGTAGCCAGGCATGGTGGTAGGTACCTGTAGTCCCAGCTACGTGGGAGGCTGAGTTGAGAGGATCAGTTGAGTCCAGGAGGTCAAGACCAGACTGGCCAACACAGTGAGACCCATCCCAAAAAAACAAAACAGGCAAGAAAGGAAAACTGCTTTGTAATTCTGGAGAACACAGGTACCAAGATGGAGGGGTAGAAGACAGGAGGTTTCAGGGAAGTAAAACCAGTGTTTCCTTAAGGTTGTCAACACAAGACACACACCAGGATCTTGTCCTGGGGCAGTGAGGATCCAGGGGTGGCTTGTTAGTAGGTGAGAGGTCAGCTCTGGGTATGACAGTTGGTTATGACGTTGAGGTGGCTCAGTTCCTAACGGGAGCCCAGAGATGGCCCAGAACTGGCCTCGAGGTTGCTCAGGGGAGGCAACATTGGAAATGGGAATTTGGAGGCTGGCAGAACAAACAGCTCAAGCAGTAGAGCCCCTGCCTAGCAAGCATGAAGCTCTGAGTTCAAACCCCAGTAACACCAAAAAAGTAAATAAGGGGGGCTGATTTGATCACTATGAGAGGGATAGGAAGACAGTATGGCAGAAGCAACAGTGTGCACTCATGAGTCAGAGAATGGGAAGAAGTGTCACCCTGGGTCTTGTGACACTGAGGTTGGAGCCCAGGCCCAGGGTCTGTACCTGCCAGGCAAGCACTCTACAGCTTCAGCCACACCTCCAGTCCTGTGTTTTGTTTTTTTGAGGCAGCCCTAACTTTGCTCATGCTGGCTTGAACTTTCAATTCTCCTGCTTCTGTCTCCTGACTACCGTGTACTGTAACACCTAGCTCGCATGGGGTCTTGACACCAATGTAATTCTGTTGTGAGCTTACTGGGCGGCACAGGAGGGCTGTGAGGGAAGAGCAGGGTCACACCTGTTATGGAAAGATTCCTAGGGCCATGTTGGGACAAGTGGGGGTCCTTTGCCCAATCCAACCATGCTGCCTTCACCCCTAGGAATTATGGGCCCACTGTGCTGGTGCAACAAGAGGCACAGAAGAATGGCTGCGAGCAGGTCCTCTGGCTGTATGGGCCTGACCAGCAGCTCACCGAGGTGGGCACCATGAACATATTCATCTACTGGACCCACGAGGACGGGGGTGAGCCCACCTGTGCCCCAACTGTTCCATGACCTGTGTGGGTGGTACAGAGGCTGGGGCGGGGTGGCTGAGAGGGTGACAAGTGGCTAGAAGGTATAAAGTGATGCCCCCTCCTGCACCTGATCTAGTGCTGGAGCTGGTGACCCCTCCGCTGGACAGTATCATCCTTCCTGGAGTGGTCAGACAGAGTCTGCTGGACCTGGCTCAGTCCTGGGTAGGGCGTGGGGTGCATGTCATAGCGTGCTTGTGTGTTGGGGCCAGGGCACCAGGGGGCTGTGATGGGGGCTGGAACACACTGGCACGTCCCTGTCCCCCTTCTCTCTGGGTCTGTTTTCCCCCCTCCGTCTTCCTCAGCATCCCTAGGGAGGGAGAAGCAGGGGCTGCAGTAGGACAGCCCTCTGGGAACATGGTGTCCCTGCCCCTGCCCTGCAGGGTGAGTTCCGGGTGGTGGAGCGCAAGATCACCATGAAGGAAATGCTGCGGGCGCTGGAGGAGAGGCGGGTGCGGGAAGTCTTCGGCTCCGGCACCGCGTGCCAGGTCTGCCCGGTGCACGGAATCCTGTATGAAGGCAAGGTGAGGCGGGCTGCCATTGGGGCGGGAGGGAAGGTGGGGGGGTGCCCTGTCCTCAAGGCCCCTTTTCCCCAGAAATTTCACATTCCCACCATGGAAAATGGGCCTGAGCTGATCCACCGCTTCCGGAAGGAGCTGAAGGCCATTCAGGTGAGGCACTGGGGAGGGGTGGGTGTGCTCCCTACAGAAGTTCATGTCCCCTGCACAGTCCTAGGAACGATAGTGACCCTCCCATTAGCCACGTAGACCTTCCACGAGTCCCTGGGGCCTGAAGCACTGTCGCCTAGGACCTAGTTTCCCTTTCCTGCCTGCTTCTGGGGCCCTGGACCCTCACTTTCGCTTGAAAAGCCCCCTGCCCGTGAGCCTCTGCAGCCCTTGCTTGCTGGTGGAGAAATCCCTTCCGTTCCCATGAGTCTTTGCGGCCCTGGGTGTCTGGAGGGAAACCCCTTTCCTCTGGAACCGTGGCCCTCTCTCTGGGCCCCTGGGCGCTGGGCTTGCCTTTGGCTTGAGGAGGCTTCCTCAGAAGGGCCTCTGGGCCAAGAATTTCCTTCCACAAGCCTCTAGGGCATGGCCTTTCTTCAGAGCCAAGAGAGTCCTCCAAGAACTTTTGGGCTCCTTTGCTTACCCTGTAGACCCGGCCTGGCTGGCGTTCCTGGCTCCCTTTCCAGTAAATGCACTTCCCACCGACCAGGCCAAGAGCCTTCAGGTCTTCACCCAGGCCTTCTCCCTTTGACCTCTGCCACGGCCTTGACTTACCCTCCCCGCCATGTGGGCGAATCTCGGGGAAGTGGACTACACTTCCCATGAGCCCCCGGGGCATAGCCGCACAGCCCAGAGCCTGGATTGCCCCGAGGCCTGCTGGGAGTTTCAGTGCGGCCCCTCACGTTCTGCCCCGCTGTCCCGCAGTATGGAGCCAAAGCGCACGAGTGGGTTCTCCAGGTGTGACCCCCGCCTGCGGCTTTGTCACCTCCCTCTGGGTCCACACCACGCACCATATCATCTAAGCCCGCCCGCCTTCTTGCCTGCCACCGACTCCTGACGTGCAATAAGAGGCCGGGGCCAGACATCCGCGTCTCCCCGCCCCCCCCCCCCCCCCCCCGCGCAGCTGCGCTCCCAAAGCCAAAAGCCCGCCCGAGGCGTGGGGACAGGGACGCGCCTCGGCCTCTACTCATTTCTCCGTTCTCAGGCCGGATCCCCGGTGCTGCGTTCTTTTTTTTTTTTTTTTTTTTTTTTTCTCGCAGCAATTTTGAAATAAAATGCCAAAGAACAAGGTGTTAGCTGTCATCCGCAGTGACGCCACTCTAGGGTCACCAGCGCTCTGGTGCTTTCTGCAGTGTGGGGACCTCTTTGCACTTGTCCTAAACTGAATTCACCATCTAACCCCACTCACAAACTCCTCCACTATGTCCCCATCTTGAGGACAGCCCAATCTCCCAGTCACTATAAACCCTCCTCACCACTGTGTTCCTCAAAGTCCATCAGTCCCCAAGCCTTGCCCTTCGGTCCCTGATTACTTCGTCCTTTTCTCTTTGTCCCCCTGTCTTCTGCCTGCACCACTGTCCCACCTGCCTCTCTGGCCTCCCATCCTCCTGTCTGTCCTCTGCCTGCCCCAAAGTGCTCTTTCTGCCCTTGAGCTGGCCCTGTCTTAGGGAACCCAGCACTCTGACGGTCGAGTGGATCCTGTCCACTGTCCAGGGATTGAACATCAAGCTTATAAAACAGATGGAACATGGTGACACACACCTGTAACCCCAGCACCTGCGAGGAGGATACAGGAAGATCCTGAGTTCCAAGCCAGCCTGGCTATACAGAGAGACCCTGTCTCAAAAAAAGTAACAGCCAGGTGCTTGTGGCTCACACCTGTAATCCTAGCCACTCAGGATGCAGCAATCAGGAAGATCTTAATTGGAGGCCCCAAAAGTTCACAAGACCCCATCTTAATGGAAAAAAGTTGGGCATGGTGGTATGCGTTTATCATCCCAGCTACTGCGGAAAGCCATCTTGGGCATAAAGTGAGACCCTATCTCAAAAATAACCAGCACAGCCCCGTGCCAGTGGCTCAAATCTGTAATCCTAGCTACTCAGCAGGCAGAGATCAGGAGGGTTGCCCTTCAAAGTCAGTCCAGGCAAATACTTCATGAGACCCTATCTTGAAAAACCCATCATTCACACACAAAGGCTGGTGGAGTGACTTAAGGTGTAGGCCATGAGTTCAAACCCCAGCACTGCAAAAATAAATAAATGAAAATAACTAGCACAAAAGTCTAGTGGAGTGGCTCAAATGGTAGAGCACCTGCCTGGCAATCTCAAGGCCATGAGTTCAAACTCCAGAACCACCACTCCCCCAATCCCTGAAAAATAAAAGGGAGGGAAGAAAGGGAGGCTGCAAATTTGCTTTTCTGAGGTTGTAGATACAGTATCACTAATCACGTTCAATAGTCATATATATATATTTTTTTTTTTTTTGAAGTGAGTACTCAGGGCCTGATGCTTGTTAGAGCACTGCCAACTGAGCCACTCCACCAGCAACAATGTTCTTAGAAACAAGAAACAATGGTTCATAGCAGATCCGGAGGCAATGGCCAGATGAAGGAATTTCTGTTTTATGTCGGACCAACACCATATGATATCAGTCATGTAAAATGTGGTTGCATGTCTTCTGTGTGAGAAGGAAAGTCTGTGAGGAATACGATGACAATGAAAGACAAGGATGTGACTACAGTCAGTTCCACTGAATTGCACACTTAAATGATTATGATTGCAAATTTTGCCCGGTGCTGGTTGCTAATACCTGTAATCCCAGTTACTTGGGAGGCTGAGATCAGGAGGATTGAGGTTCGAGGCCAGCTCAAGTAAGTACTTTCGAGACCCCCAACTCCAAAATAACGAAAGCAAAATGGACTGGAAGTGTGGCTCAAGCAGTGGAGCACCTACTTTGCAAGTGCGAAGCACTGAGTTCAAATCCCAGTCCCCAAAAAAAGAAAACGGAAAAAAGACAAACTCCAAAAAAAAAAAAAAAAAAAGACAAGCTCCAGTCCCACCCAAAAAAGAAAAAGAAAAAAACCCGAAGATTGCAAATTATATGTTGTAGGTCTTTACCACAATTAAAAACTTTAAAATATTTTTTAAAATTTGGGAAAAGAAAAGCAAAGTCTTAAAATTCACACCCATCAAAATGTCCACTGAGGGATGCGGCCACGGCGGCGAGCGCCGGGTTCGCGTGCTGCGCCGCCTGGCGGTCAGTTTGGGAATGACGTCTCAAAGGAGGAAAGAGAAGGAAAAGCAGTATAGTCCATAAGCAGTGTTAGCAGTTTTCCACGTGTTAGTGCTTGAAAACAGGTTTCTGGCATTACAGAAACTGACACATACCTCACGGGATGTTTCCGACGATTCCCTTAAGGTGATGTTTAAGAAACATCGGAGCTGGGCACTGTGGCTTTCTTCTGTAACCCCAGCTACTCGGGAGGTGGTGATCAGGAAGATCGCGGTGCCAGGCCAGGCCAGGCCAAAAGTTTGCCAGACTCCATCTCAACCAGTGGCTGGGCCCGGTGATGCACGCCTGTCATCCCCGCACTAAGGAGGTGGCGGCAGGAGGATCACAATTGCAGGCCGACCTGGACTACATGCAACTTGGTTTATTTTGCTACATTCGCATCTACTATCTAACATTTCTAGATTTGTGGAACCATTTTAGACAGCTTCAGAAGTTCAATTTGTGTCTTCCAGTAGCAGACTTTTTTTGGGGGGGGAGGTGCTGGGATTTGAACTCAGGTCCCTGCACTTGCTAGGTAGGCACTGTACTGTGTGGGCCACGGCCCCAGCTCATAATTTTACCTCTTGTACATCTCTATCACATCTAATTAACCATGATTCCCTGACCATCCCAGTCCCCATTGGCAGGCGAGGGGAAGGTTCTCTGGAACCTGGCAGAAGAGCATTTCAGGCAGGGGGAATAGCCAGTGCAAAGGCCCTGAGGCCAGAACGCCCAGGGATGGGGGATTGTTTTTTCCAGGACCTGGGAGGAGGACAATCTGGCTGGAGCACAGTTTAGTGGGCCAGGAGGAGAGGGTGTGGTTCTATGAGTGCGCAGAGGGAGGGAGCCCGGCCCGGGCTTTTCCACTTGTTTCCATCGGTGCTGGGCTGGCGCCGCCTGCTGGCCGTGCAGGGAACAGGCTGCAAGGGGTTTTTCATGGTTGGATATTCCGTCCTTTACCCAGACAATGTCTTTTGGTTTTGTTTGTTTTGTTTTGTTTTTTTAACTGAGTAGAATTACATGGCAACAATATATTATCAGTGTGTGTGTGTATATATATATATATATATATATCCAAGAAAAACCCATTGTTTAAAAGAGTTAATACCACCATCTCTAAGTATCAAAGGACATGTTTAGAGCCAGTAAAAATAGTCACTTTGTCTCTATTTAAGTAGAAGACCCTGTCTAAAAATACGACTTTGTGTCTAGAAGGGCTTTAATGCTAGATAGCCACACATGCATAAGAACCATTTCTTTAATCCTCTCAGCCTTGGTTATTTTTGAGAGGTCTGGCATTAGTGACTCCATTGGAACTTTGATGGCATTCCCCTTGTCTCCAAACTGCTTGTCTCTGAGCAGTCTGTCTGTCTTCCATCCAAGTACTAACCAGGCACCACCCTGCTTAGCTCCTGAGATCAGAGAAGATAGGGCCGTGGACTAAGATGTTTCTCGATTGGTCATTTTCTTCCTTATTGTGAGGATTTGTTTTTTCCTGGGTTTTTGTTTGGTTGGTTTTGGTCCCGCATCACGGGGGAAGTCATGAGCAGATCAGGAGGGAGGGAGTGCCTCCTAGACCTATTGAAGCTCCAAAGAGGGTTAGAAGGAGTGGCTCTTAGGCAGCGGGATTCTAGATAAGGACAATACAAAACAAAATCTAACAAAAGCAGACATCCAAAAAGCTGACCTGGTTGACACACAAGTACTTGTTAGAATCATTTTTTTATGGACTCGACTGTAAATGCCCCAGAAGGATCAGAACTGTAATGACAAAAACTTAAAAGAGCCATGGTTCAAATTCTGATGGACAATTTAGCAGCTAACAGACAGCGTATCAGTACCACTAACTTTTTGTTACGGTGTTTATTGAAATTTTGTATTTCAGAAGGCTTGATATACTTGAAAAACTAAATATATTTAGTATAAGGAACCAGCAGCAGCATCACAGCTCTATGGAGGTTATATATACATGTTAGTTTAGTTTTTGCTCTTGAAGTGAAACCTTAGATTTTCTCATCAATTGTGGGCAGAGAACAGTGTCAGTGACCCCAAATAGCCCAGTCACAGACACATATAGGGTACCTACTGCATTAGAATCACCCCAGACAGCAGTTGGTTAACCATAATTATAAGACCATCTAGAAAGTTTTACATAAACCAACTCTTCCATGAACATGACTCAGTTACCTTAGCAGTCAAAACCCCGACAAAAACCACCAAAGAACACAGGTATTATTTATGGGGACCAAGTGTGGAGTTAGGAAACACAGTGGCTGAGAATCACGGCTCAGACGTTGATAAGGGATCACATCCCAGATTGTTGACGTTGACATATGGCTCATGACATAGCAGGAGGCCGTCAACCTGGAGTCAATGGAGGCCCCTAAAATAACAGGACCAATCTGGCCATCCCAGGCCAAAAATTCCCTCTGCCTGCCATGTGGCAGGAGTGGGACATCTGCACTCTGCTGAGTGCAGCAGAAACTGGCGGTCGTGGCCTCAGTGTAGTGCTCCTGTCTGAGTTTTCCTAATGCTGTCTGGAGGAGCACTTTGGCTTTGTTGTTGTCCTTTTGTTTCCAGTCGCTTTGCATAAGTCAGTGTGTCTCAGCCCTCAGCGCAGCGGCACTGCCTCTGTGTCTCCATTAACTCTTCTTGTCCGCATAAATTTAAATTTAGCCTGTAGCACCAAAACTTCCTGACCGCTGTCTTCACAAAACAAAAACCATGCTAGGACAGTTTTTGTAAATGTTATTAAGAACAATATAATATTTTTCAGGCAGCCTTGCTGCTATGAGCTTAGAGAATTAAGTTTAACATCAGTAC